TGGAGAAGAGCTGCATATTGTGATTGCAAATGCGCGTCGTCTTGATTGTTGTTGTCCTGTAAGGCCGCAATCGCCCGGTCGAGTATCTGCAAAGCCTCTTGAAGTTTTGAATTACGCACGCCAAGCGCAAGAGCCTTCATCAAGAAGATGGAGGAGCTGATCGTACGGAAGAGAATTCTCATCGGCGAATAATGCAATGCACCAGTGGCGCCGAGAAGGGCAACTTTCTCTAGTGTTTGGCAGCTACCATCGATTACCTCTTCGATGAAACCGTACTCTCGCCCCGTCATATCAAGTCGTCTTGTCCTTTCTATGAAGGAGTGATCAATGGTGGTTTCGCTGTGTGGATTATCGCCTGTTAGAACTCGTTGTACCACGAGTTGCATTCCGATAGAGTTCACAAGAACACGTAGGTATTGATACTCGATGGAAAGGATATCCGTAAATGTTGTTCCGGGGGCTAAGATGTTTAGTCGCCTTATTGCTCAGATCTGGAGCGTGCCACTTACTTGCGGTGCTGAGGTTTTCTTGTCGCCAATTCGCTATCAAGATCTGCTTCTCCTCCACCATGGACATGAACTGATCGGCTGTGTCGAGGACCATTGGTGCATTCATCAGAGGATATAATGCTCCCATCATTGAACTTGACATCTTGGTAATTCCGATCCACGAGTTCATGAAAGAAATCCACTCTCTTCCCTCTTTCTGTTGCAACAACAGCCTTGAGACAGGGACGGAAATATTGGTATCGGAAGGCACCGGAGAAGTACACCCGATTCTCGAAGACAGAACGTTGATGTATACAAACAGTAGGCTTGGAAGTCGTTGTCGCCGTAGCTCAAGATGATCAAGGTACATCTCAGCGTCGATCTCGACCAGGCCATCAGGCTTGAGAACTCTGGTGCTGGAATCAAAAGCGCCAAGCTCGTGAGCAAGGGCCAATGCCGAGCTCAGAACCATCCACGACATGCGCTCAAATCGCATCGTCGGCTCAACCACGTCTTCCCTCCATCGAGCAGAGACTGGGACTTCTTCATCTGTCAATGGCGGGTCCCGCACATCCAGATGGGTCATGATAAAATCCGAATCCCAGCCATCCGTCTCCGGAGGAAATTGCAATGACCGCGGATGCCACTCTGACATGAGAAGAAGTGCCTCAATGCTTCCAATATTACGGGTTCGAGCCTTCGACTTCTTTTCTTGGCCCAGAGTGAGCCGGAGCAGAAGGTGTTGGCAATGCTGCCATAGTCGGTGATGTATGAAGAATGCCCGCGAAGAGCCACCAACACCCCGAAGAGTATGATACCGCGAGGATATCATGAGAATTGTACAGCAGAGCATGGGTTCTTGGGTCACGAGGTAGAAGTGATTCTTATGGGAGGCGAAGAAGTCCGTGAGGATAGGCGAGAGAGGGTTCATATTTGCGAAGAAACTATGACATTCATTAGTACAAGCGCAATATTTTTATGCAGGGAGAACACCGACAGGTCAACCAGAGTCATCGCCTCATGAGCGGAAAACCATCCCATTTTCACAAATCGGCAGGCATTCCACATCTGCAGCGCGTCAGTCGTGGTGAGGCGTTGGGGAACAAGAGTGGGGATAGGGGCAGTGGTGATTTGCTCGGTATTTTGTTGTGATTCTTCGCGAAGAGCAGCTTCAAAAAGAATATCCATCGCATCTTTATTGTTCGACACAACCTTTTGCAACATCGATGTCGGAAGATGGCCATCCTTGGTTCCGGATTGGTCGTGCGGAGTCGATCGCGATCTGCTTGCTTTAGAAAAAAGATACAAGTCGGGGATGAAGATGCATATAGCAAACATTTGTAAATGAGCATTCTTTTCATGCTGAGAATCTCTTCCTTTCATGGATGGTTCTTTCGAAGCTCGGGACCACGGTTTCTTTGAGGTGAAGGTGCAGTCGATCCGCTTCTTGGTGCACCGGAAGCATTTTTCGCCCTCACCCGGCTCGCATTTCACCTTACGCCTTGCGCATGGGACACATGCTTTGTATGCCCGTTGGAATTCATAGTCATGAAGAGCCCTACTTCGTGATAGCTTCTTCCTGTCCATGGATGGTGCGTGTTGGAGGAAGAATGCGAAGTGCGGAGAAGTGGAGACGACGGCTTTTTCGAATATCCGCGATCGAGACGCGTCTTCTTGTCGAAGTTGGCCTCGTCGGCCCAGCGGAGACTTTGAGGGTTGAATTAATTGTGCGACTGATAAAACATACCAATTCTAAAGTTGACTGTCCTGGCTCCTTCCCTGAACACGAGTTTGCTGCTAATTACTCTAATTTCAACTGAAACAAAATAGCCGCGGCACAACATCCGCGTGACGGCGCTCCATAGTCGCAATGACCCAGTGTTTTAGCACCTCAAAAATTACTTATAAAACTAGGGGTAGATTATTACGGGGTTGTATTTTGTAAATGTCTTTAGAATATCTATAGTGAAGGCTAGGAAATAATTAGTTGGCGCTAGTATGTTAGTACGGTGTAGATACCTAGCCATCCCAGTATCCTCCTACTCAGTCATATACTCAATATCATGGATTCTTAGGATCAAGCAAATTTTATAGGTAGAACAGCATCACTGAGGTGTGACAGAGCCTGATAGATAACACTAGAATTTGGGACGCTGAAAGACTGGGTCGATTGCTGTTATGGAGCGCCGGAGCTGCGATCAAGAATAGATTAAGTCAAACCAGATCAAGCGCATAGGCGTAAGCTAAAGTAGAATGCCCATCCAAATAAACTCCTAGCAATCAAGTCAAATATCTGAAGTTCGGGTTATTGTCACCACCATCGGTCACATCAACCCGGTCGTGCTCGTTGATCTCCCCATACTCACGATCGCGTCTCTTATTTTCCATTTTCAAATCTATGTGCAACCCAACTGCGAGTATCACAATCAAGCCAGTAAAAGCACACCCCAGAGCACACCCTTTGGTATAAAGCGGTGCATCGCTATCCGGGAAGACGGAGGAACTGATCAGACTGGAGCACTGACCAAAGATAGCCAAAAGCGCCATGCCCGCACCCTTTTTGCTTTCTCCACCTTGATTATTAAGCATCCAGGTGATATTTATAGCGAGCGCTGGGAATATTCCGCAAGTTGCAAGCCAAATACCCGCATATCGTGCCCCGGTATGGGTCTCGTCCTGCACGCAGGTCAAGATGAGATAGCCAACTGTACCCAAGGATGCGAAAAATGTAATCACCCAGCCGCGATTACCCCATCGATCTGATACAAGAGCAGCAGCAACACAACATATGAATGATCCAAGGTAAGGCGGAGCTGCCAGACCCTGTGCATTAACTGAGTTGTACCCCATTGTTTCGAGGATGGTCGGTAGGAAGTTGGAAAGACCAGCGAAGGAGTAATTGCAGCAAAAGTGGATAGTCATATGAACATAATTCTTGTAGTCTTTCAATCCGCTGAGGACTTGCTGCCATTGAACTTTATTCTTGGCAGTACGATCGATTGTCTGGAGTCGTTCAACTGCCTCTGTTTGCTCAGATTCGTCGAGAAATTTTGCGGAGCCAGGTGAGTCAGGAAGGAAGAAGAATACAACAACCGAGAACAGAACAGTCGGCGCGCCCTCTAATTCCAGTCAGTCTTGCCAAAAATCGGACAAAAACGTGGACATACCAATGATGAAAAGGTAGCGCCATGGCTCTAGATTGCCTTTTATCTGCGTAATGCCGTACGCAAGAGCTGAGGCGAAGCAGTTGGCAACCGGAGACATACCCAAAAGCATTGATAGTCGGAATCCTAATTCTTTTCTCTGATAGAACAGAGAGAGGAAGTAGGGTGCACCACAACCGAAAACGGATTCAAAAACACCGAGCAACCCTCGACATACGAGAAGCTCAGCGAAGTTGGTGACGGCCCCGCTACACATCGCTGCAGCACCCCAGCTTGATGATTAAACATGGTTAGAAATTCTGGTACTCATATTCCTTGGGACTAAGATTCACTAGGACGTACCAGATGCATAGCACAGCGATGTATGAGTGAGCGGGGAGAATTTTCCACAAGACAGTTGTCCATTCGAAGACAATGTAGCAGATGTAGAAGGTATAGAGTACCCATGACCATTGATAGTCATCCAGCCCGAGATCCTTGTCGATTCCAGCTGACTTTGCATTGCCAATATTACCTGCCCAAGATGATTAGAGATGAAGCGGGCTCAAGATGTAACATAACTTACCTCGATCTAGGTAAGAAAGAATGTAGAGTATGCAGACTATTGGAAGTACTCGGCGATCGAACTGTGATATTTGTGAGACTCGGACTTTCTCATTCGGTCTCATATACATGACATATTACCTTCTTTCGAATCAAGGACTGTCTTGTCTCCGGAACGGTAGATTGTTGTCGATTCTTCTCAGTATCAACACTTTCAAAATGCTGGCAGTTTGGAAGTTGCTCCACATCCTTTAATCCCGTCATGGCTTCTTGCTCAGCAAGGTAGTGTTGTCAGGCATAAAATATCAACAAACTTGCTTCCACAAAGTAGAGCTAGAATATCGCAAGCGGGACCGGGAAAAACTTGAGAAATAAGTACTGAATATATAATGAGAAGGATTCGGACAAATAGAGGAAGAGTCAAATGAGACTCGACAAACTTTCTGTGAAATCAAAATCCGGGGACCCCATGGGCCCGGGATCCTGCATGCTCAAGGAAGTGCCGAGCCCCGCTTGAGAAAACGCCCTTTTATTTAATTGGGATGCTTTTCATTGGATCAGACACTAAACACAGTTAAAACTAGACCTATAGCGTCTACGATGGCGAGGAGAAAGAAGAGGGGAACCATCCGTCGCGGGTATTCACAATTATCCGCGCCTGAAACATCCGCGATATTTGATCATAATATAGCTACAGCTATCCTGTCGGCCGATATCGCTCTGGTACGAGCAATTTAAAAGGTAGTAGAGCCGCTGCAATAAGTCCATTCACAACTACCCAAGCTTCTCATTCCGCCTTGCAACAATGTCCGCCAGCAACGTTCCGTATCCCTTCCATTTCGAAAGTGCATCGGCCGCCGGGCCACAAGATGGCACGACTACCGACGTCACTATCAAGTTGAAGAATGTCCGCGGAAAAATCCCATCCATTCAAACCTCGCGACTCCGCACAATGATGCTTGAGGCCCGCAACGATCCCACCAAGATCCTCGCTCACGCCTGCACGTACGACGGCCTCTCTTCTCGCCTGGTCGAGGAAGCAGGATTCCCGATGGTTTTCCTCGCGGGATATGCAGTTGCCAGCTCATACGGCCTGCCGGATACTGGATATATTGCCATGGCCGAAATGTGTGATAAAATCCAGGAGTCTTTCCGCCAGGTCTCGGTGCCGATCATGGCAGACGGCGATACCGGGTATGGAAGTCCGATGAATGTCAAGCGAACAGTTGAGAGCTTCGCAGCTGCGGGAGCCGCGGGAGTTATGATTGAAGATCAACAGTGGCCCAAACGTATGTTTCTCTGACTTTGATACTTCAGAGATAAGTTCTAACCGCCGGGTATCTGCCAGGTTGCGGTCACACTAAAGGTAAGAACGTCGTCTCTCGCGAAGAGGCCTATGCTCGGATCCAAGCTGCATGTGATGCTCGCAATGAAGGGCAGGATATTTTTATTCTCGCCCGTACAGACGCTTTGATGCACGGCTGGGACGAAGCTATAACTCGTGCAAAGGAATTCATGCGAATCGGAGTCGACGCGATTTTTGTCGAGGCCTTGCCGGATCGCGATGCGATGAAGCGGTGTACGGATGAGCTGGATATTCCAGTATTCGCCAATATAATCGAGGGAGGAAAGACAGAAAATCTTTCAGCGAAGGAGCTTGGTGAGCTGGGATATAGTGCTGTTGCGTACCCTTGGACCTTGGTCGCTGCTCATCTCCGGAGTGTTCGGGAAGCTCTGGACGGCTTGAAGAAATCTATGACGACTGGGGCCCCTCCCATGATATTGTCATACGATCAGGTCTGCGAAGGTGTTGGATTTAACAAGTACTGGGTGAGTTCCATCGTTCCCGAACCACCGCCGATGTAGACTGACGTTGTATAGGCTCGGGAGGAGAAGTACAAGTACAACACCTAACTAGAGATGCGCTACTAGACGCTGCCGTTGGAGATGATTTAAGAATTGAATTGATAAACTTATGATACTTCGTTGTCTCAAACATCCCCACTGATAAGATGCGTTCAAGTTCCCCTCTTGCGTGAGCGTCGTGCTACGAGCACGCCATAACCTCATCACCCGAGGATCCGAGGATTATAAATCCGATTAGATGTCAACTGGAAGTTACTGAAGGTATTTAAGATTTTATGTATTTACTCAGAAACTATGCTTTCTAAATAATCATCATCAAGATTTTCAACATCCCCAGCTATGGCAGACCCTCAGCCCGACCGCCAGCTTCATCTAACGGCCTTTATGCGGCCGGTGTCCTTGCACACCGGTGCCTGGCGCTATCCTGGCTCATACCCCGATGCCAACTTCAATTTCAAACATATCGCCGCCTTTGCACAGAAGCTAGAAGCAGCCAAGTTCGATGCCTTTTTCATGGCGGATCATCTGGCTGTTTTGAACATGCCTGTCGAGGCCCTCAAGCGTAGCCATACAGTGACATCCTTTGAGCCATTTACTCTGCTCTCTGCTCTTTCATCGGTGACAAAGAAGATCGGTCTCGCTGCCACTGCGAGCACAACCTATGATGAGCCTTACCATGTTGCTAGGCGGTTTGCCAGTCTCGACCATTTAAGCGAAGGCCGAGCAGCCTGGAATATCGTGACAACCGGCAACCCCGAGTCGAGCCACAATTTCGGATTCGATGAGCATATGGCCCATAGCGATAGGTATAAGCGAGCTCGAGAATTCTACGATGTGGTTACGGGGTTGTGGGATAGTTTCGCCGACGATGCGTTTGTTCGGAATGTGGAGACTGGGGAATATTTTGACCCGGAGAAGTTGCACACGCTAAATCATGCTGGTGATGAGTTTAAAGTGCGTGGGCCACTGAATATTGCTCGGCCTCCGCAGGGATGGCCTGTGATTGTCCAAGCGGGACAAAGTGAGCCAGGCCGACAGTTGGCAGCGGAGACGGCCGAGGTCGTTTTCTGTAGTCCGAAGGACATTGAGGGGGCAAAGGCACTCTATGCAGATATCAAAGGACGAGTGGAGAAGGCTGGTCGCAAGAGAGATAGCTTGAAGCTCCTCCCCGCTGCTTTGATCATTGTTGGAGAGAACAAGCAGGATGCGTGGGAAAAGAGACTGAAGTTGGATAGCCTGGTACATTATGACAGTGCAATCGCATCATTGTCTATTGTCCTGGGCGTGGATGTCAGCAAGCTCGACCCTGATGGACCTTTACCAACAGACCTACCGGAGACAAATGCGAGTAAGACAGCGCGAGAGTCTGTCGAGAAAGTGGCCAAGACGGAGGGATTAACCATCCGCCAGCTTGCTCAACGTCAAGGAGGGTATTCCGGCCTGGCCTTCCTTGGGTCTCCCAGTGAAATTGCAGATGAGCTCGAAACTTGGCTGCGTGAAGAGGCCTCAGATGGATTCACCTGCGTGTTTCCTTTCCTGCCGCAAGGCCTGGATGAGGTAACAGAGAAATTGATTCCAGAACTGCAGCGTCGGGGCTTGTTCCGCAAGGACTATACTGGTTCGACACTGCGTGATCACTTTGGCCTAGCAAGACCTGAGAACAAGTTTTTTAGCCAAGCATAATCTCTTCTTTTAGTTGATTGCCTCCGAGACTGAATGTGACGTACATTTTATTTCTTTTACCGTATCTGTTCTCCCAAATATTGAATTTTGGCAAAATATATGTGATCCATGAGATAGTAAAGTACCACCGGCCCCCTACTAGACAACCTTGCAAACCACAACAATGATCGTGATTAAAGCAAACGGTCGACAAAATTATTACCGATGGAATCGGTCTACTTTCAGATCGCCGGTCATCGGGCCAATCACAGCAGGCCAGCTCGACCGGGCTGCATTGCCCGCCCTGCGAATGACATGGAAAGGTCTAGATAGCAGTCAGTATATTTTTCTCTTGACTTGACTCATTCTCACCTGCTTTTCACTTTTCGCGCACCTCAATTTCCCATAGGGGACGTACGATAAACCCATTCATCCTCATCACGATTGCAACAATGGGAAGCACTGCCGACTCGCCCTTCAACATCCGCACCCACCGCCCCGGCGACATCGGATGGATAATCCACCGACACGGGCTCCTCTACCACGAAGAACACAATTGGGACGAACAATTCGAATCACTCGTCGCCAAGATTGGCACTGAGTTCATTGACAATTATGACTCAGCCTGCGAGCGTTGTTGGATCGCCGAAAAAGAAGGCAAACCGCTTGGCTGCATCATGCTGGTGAAAGATCGATCATCAGACAGAAATGCGGCGAAGCTTCGCCTGCTTCTTGTTGAGCCGAGTGCTCGGGGCTTGGGGGTGGGAAAAGCGCTTGTCCGACAATGTACGGAATTTGCAAGAGAGGTTGGGTATGCTCGGATTGTGCTGTGGACTCAGAGTATCTTGACCGGGGCGAGGAAAATATATGCGAATGAGGGGTATAAACTCATCAAATCGGAGGAGCATCAAAATTGCGGACCGAACTTGACGGGCGAGCTTTGGGAGATGGAGCTGTGATGAGAGGAGGTGGGTGTATATGAGATGGCATGATGATATGACTAGAATTAGAGAATACCCTTGACAACGCGACGGGTTATCAGTCAATCTTGATATAAAATGTAGATTCTTCCAAAGAAACGACGATCATAGTATTTTGCAATTTCCTGGGTGGAGAAATATTAAACATCTGAACGGCAACTAATGCAGCCGGGAGCTTCGGCTCCCCGCATCCAATCCACAGTTTGTCTCAGAAGCAAGCTTGCCTTTATCGATGATAATGTATCTTTGCTACAAATCATGAGCCTCGAACCTTTTCAATGCTATTGGTTGCTCAACTTGAGTAGGATGTATACCTAGACCTATTCTACTATTCACTGCTAGGAGAAGTAGTTGAAATGCGACATGCTACTTTAGTCGAAGCCCAGCCTTGAGAGGAATTGCCATATTTTGAATCCAGCTCGATATCTATTCGAGTAGCTATCTGTTTTTCAATTTGGAGCGCTACTGGAAAATATAGGCACGGGAGTAGATTCATCTAAATCAGAAGGCAGTGATATCAGTAGATCGCTATTTTAAACTTCCATAAAAAAACAAGAAATTATCAAGTTCATCAAAAATTAGCAGTTTTTAGTAGGGAGGAAACTTCTTCCATCGATAGTATGAAATACAATTGTTTATAGAGCACCGTTTTGGGAAGGATCTTTATGTGGGGTGGGTCTTGCAGTCGCTCCACGATACTTTGTTAAGAGATCGACATCGTGAGTTTGTTGTACGTGCCGATATTGTTGGTACTCGTAATTATGTGGTCTTCTTTTCGAGAGGCCAACCGGGGGAACTGTATCAAAGCAAGGTCTTGAGAGGAGGTTATGGTTTCTATTGCAGATTTCTGTAGCGTAGGTTCCATTTAAATTGATCCTTGAACGGTGGGTTATACTAGTAGTAAATTATGATACCGAAAAATTGATACTAATTCCATCAAGCCAAACCAGTCGCGAAGTAAATTTAGCCCTCAGAGCACAAGCCGAGAAATAGTATGATCTGCGGATCGAAGCGCTAATTGCAAAATCCCATCACACCATCCATGGATGGAATACACAAAAAATGACCCTCGTTCAATGAGGTAACTGAAGGATCGAGCTACTGCGGGAGGTCGGCTTAGCGTCAAAAGGAAGTCGCAGATCGGCGTCTCGGCGAGGCGTGATGGTCTCCTTCCCGTCGCAGTTCAATTGTACTGTACAAAGTATCGGCAAGGAAAGAGCATCCTAACTGAGGAATATATGGTCTGTGCTACGAATGGGAATGCGACCGGGCGGGACATGTATCTGGGGGGATGACGAGCAGAAATTGGGCGTTCAAGGCGGGACAGCACGTAATGGGATCGAGAGAGGAGGACCCAATGTCCAGCGGGGGGATGCGCTGGCCCAGACGATCGGGTGGAGGATGCCATACATGAATGACCGACAGCAAACTGTGAATCTTAGTGACGAAGTAGGCAAAGACTACTCTGTATACGGATTGCTCCGTGGGAAACGATGGCGCTTTTGGCTGGATCATATCTTGGGGTACCTTAGGGCTCCCCTGTTTGGCGTAGTCGAACCTTGGAGGGAGCTTGGGCCGGTCGTCAAGGTTTTTTTTTCATGTTGACCGCTCTCTTGAGGTGAGTACGAGGATGGAGTATGGAGTACGGATTACTCGGGAGTCTTTCCCTAGCAGATCGCATTGAGTCATCGTCATATTCGACTGGATTCTGTGCTTTTCTGCAATTCATTTCGGAAAGCGCAGGAAGGCCCAGTATCATGCCATGCCCTCCCATGCCGACGGTTCCATGGGTGTGCGGACCGTGGAAAGGGGGCCATCAAGCCCTAACAACATCACAACATGACTTGATTGATATATATAGTAGATATAACAGTACTCTTACTTCATAGAGTCCTGGAAATCTCTGTAAATCTCTGTTTATATCCAGATATGCCGAGATAATGAGATTGTGCTGGTACTATGCAGTTCCCTGCGCGGCCGATCATGAGTCAAATGACAGGTGGAGCTGTTGCACTTTTGCGCTGGTACTCCCTATTGGCCATCAGTGCTATCAGTGATGGTGTAGTCGGTCCACTTTTTTTTTTTTTTTTGTTTTCGTGTGAGTACCTTGACTCTACGGATAGGATTGGAAGTGCTGGATGGGGGATATGGAGTCCCGAAGACATGCAAATCTATCGATATCAACCGGGACTGGGCTACGTGTACCTGTACAACATTATCTCGTCACCCTCCCCCCCTCCAATTCGCACGTCCATTCTCCATGATCAATGCGAGGGACCAACCTCGGCAGCTCACCGCATGTTGACAGTGGAGATCGGCCCAAAGCTAACGGCCCATGGCCGGACTAGCGACTCCAACAAGCACTTGGGCTCGCGGTCATTGGGCGTCAATGGACCCCCTCCTCGACCATTGGAGAATAGCACGAGTTGGTCACTGTGACAACCTGGTGGAGAGCTGCGATCATATGCGCCTGGTGTTGTACAGTCGAGTTGGGCATCTGAGTTTTTTTTTTTATGCGCGCGGTGCCTCTTTGTCTCTGCTCTCTCCTCTTGATTTCCCTCAACTCATCTTTAATCACAAATCTTCCTACCATAATACCCTCTCCCACCGCTCTGTGAGCCTTGTACAGTTGGTCCTGCGTTAGTGTCTTTTGCTGGTCAAATTGCAAATCCTGCTCTTTTCCCTCCCCGCTTTCACGACCGTTACGAACTTAACGACAACATGGCGACCGCTGCCATTCAGAACGGTAAGAATTATCTCTAGCGTTCACCTGCCCCGAATATTATCTAGGAATTTGGAATTTACTAACTCACTCTTTCTCAGTCTCCGACGAGACCCTCCCCAAAGACCCCATCTCGGTCGAGCCCATCCAGTCTACACCTGCGCCAATCGTCGTCGACAAAAAGGCCGCCACCAATGGCGATGATGAAGCTCTGGAGGATGGCAAGGACTCCGAGGAGGCCACTATGACCGCCGCTCAAAGAAAAAAGGCCAAGAAGAACGCCAAGAAGAAGGAGAAGAAGAAGAACCAAAGCGTCTCCGGCATTCCCAACGAAGAGAAGCCCGAGCAACCCACCGAGTCGGACGCTACTCCTGCCGAGTCCCCCGTGGCCACAGAAACACCCGCCTCAGATATCGTTGAGGAGTCCCAGCTTGAGCAGACCACCGCTACTTACGAACCGGTGAAGGAGGAATCCACGCCGGCCGAAGCTCCCCAGGAGACTCTCGAAGCCCCCTCAGAAGAGATCCCCGCCAAGACAGAGTCTGCAGAGCCATCTGTGCAAGAGCCCGAGTCTGCCGAACCCACCACAGAAGAATCAAAGCCGGTTGAGCCGGTTTCGGAGCCTGTTCAGGAGGAAGCCGCCGCCGCGCCTGCTGCCGAGGCTGCTGTCACCCCAGACGTCGTCCAAGAGACCGCCGCCATCGAAGAGCCTGTTCAGGAGGAGATTCCTGAAAAGGTCACTGAGAAAGTCGAGCCTGAGGTTGTGGAGGCCCCCAAGGATGTCGTCGAGGAGAAGACCGAGTCTGAGGTGAAGGATACCCCCGCCGAAGCTACCTCTGCGCCTGTGGAGGAATCAACCCCCGCTCCTGTCGATGAGAAGGTTGAGGAGGTCAAGACTGAAGAGCCTACTCAGGTTGAGGCTGAGAAGAAGACTCCTGCTCAAGAGGTTGTTGAGAAGGCCGCTGAGCCTGTCGCTACCGAGGAGCCTACCGTCGAACAATCGGCCGAAGAGTCCAAGGTTGAAGAGCCTGCTCAGGTTGAGACTGAGAAGGAGACTCCCGCTGAGACTACCGACAAGCTTCCTGAAACTACTGCCGCTGCTACCGCCACCGAAGAAGCTCCCATTGAACGGTCTACTGAGGAATCCAAGGTCGAGGAGTCTAAGATCGAGGAGCCTGCCGAGTTTGAGGCTGAGAAGGCAACCCCCGCCGAGGCCGCTAATGAGGTAACTACTGAGGAGCCCGCCGAGACTACAACCGAAGCTGCGACTGAAACTACCGCTGAGCCCATTGCTGATGCCAAAGCTCCCGTTGAAGAAGCTAAGGTTGAGGAGCCCGTCAAGGAGGCATCAGTTGAGGAGCCCGTTGTCGAGGAGCCCAAGGTTGAAGAGACTCCGGTTGAAGAGACTAAGACTCAAGATGCCCCTGCTGCCATCGAAGAGCCCATTGTCAACAAGGCCGTCGAGGAGCCAGCCACCGAGGCCCCAGTGGAGGAAACACCAGTCGAGGAAGCCAAGGAGGTTGCTCCTGAGGCTCCTGTTGAACCTGTCAATGAGACTCTTGCTGAGACCAAGCAAGAGGCCGTTGAGGAGCAGAAGATTCCTGAGCCTGTTTCCGCTGCCGAGCCTGTTGTTGAAGCTCCCGCTGTAGAGGCCTCCACTACCGAAGAGCAGATTGCCGAGCCTATCAAGGAAAAGCCCACAGTTGAGTCTAAGACTGAAGACGCTCCAGCTCCAGCTGAAGAGCCGGTTGCTGAGGTTCCAGTTGAGGAAACCCCTGCTGAAGCAACCAAGGAGGTTACCGCTGAGGCCCCCGTCGAGGCTAAGGAAGAGACTGTCGAGGAGCCTGCGAAGGACGCCACAGTCGAAGATTCCGTATTTGAGGAGGAGGAAGCCCCCATCTCTGTTGAGGCTGTCACTGCTGAGGCCCCGGCTGCTGAGGCCCCGGCTGCTGAGGAGCAAAAGGTTGTCGAGCCCGTCGTCGAAGCCCCAGTTGCTGAGGAGGCCCCTGTTTCTGAAGAGCAGGTTGCCGAGCCGGCCAAGGAGGAGCCCGTTGTCGAAGCTCCTATCGCCGAAGTTGCACCCGCTGTGGAAACTCCCGTTGTTGAGGAGGCTCCTGTTGTCGAGGCTCCTGTTGTCGAGGCTCCTGTTGTCGAGGCTCCTGTTGTCGAGGCTCCTGTTGTCGAGGCTCATGTTGTCGAGGCTCCTGTTGTCGAAGCTCCTCCTGCTGTGGAATCTCCCGTTGCCGAGGAGGCTCCTATCGCTGAAGCTCCTGTTGTTGAAGAGGTCGCCGTGGTAGAGGAGCCAGTTGCCGAGGCAGCTCCTGTTACTGAAGCTGCACCCGCCGTGGAGGAGATCCAAGTTGCCGAAGAGCCAGTTGCTGAGACTATCCCTGCTGTTGAAGAGACCGCTCCCGCAGAGGAGCAGGTTGCCGAAGCTATCAAGGAAGAGCCCATTGTTGCGGCTCCGGCTGCCGAGGAGACTCCTGCTGTCGAAGAGTCTCCCAAGGTGCAGGTTCCTGAGGCCGCAGCTGTCGATGAGCCAGTCCAGGAGGAGCAGGTTTCCGAGCCCAAGGCCGAGGAGCCAGTTGTCGTTGACTTTACCCCCCGAGGTTGCTATCCCTGCCGCTGAGCCTGTCGTTGCCGAAACAACTGCTGTCGAGGAGTCAGCTCCGGTGGAAGAACCCGTTATCGAGGCTTCCAAGGAGGTTGTCGAGGAATCTCCCGCAGCTGAGGTTTCTGCACCTGCCGAGGAATTGATTGAGGAGCCCACCAAGGCTGTCGAGGAGACCCCTATCGCCAACGAGGAGCCTCAAGTTGAGACCAAGGTCGAAGAAACCCCCGCTGTCGAAGAGACTCCTGCTGTCGAAGAGACTCCTGCTGTCGAAGAGACTCCTGCTGTGGAAGAGACCCCTGCTGTCGAAGAGACCCCTGCTGTCGAAGAGACTCCTGCTGTCGAAGAGTCTCCTGCTGTCGAAGAGACTCCTGCTGTGGAAGAGACTCCTGCTGTCGAAGAGACTCCTGCTGTCGAAGAGACTCCTGCTGTGGAAGAGACCCCTGCTGTGGAAGAGACTCCTGCTGTGGAAGAGACCCCTGCTGTCGAAGAGACTCCTGCTGTGGAAGAGACCCCTGCTGTCGAAGAGACTCCTGCTGTCGAAGAGTCTCCTGCTGTGGAAGAGACTCCTGCTGTCGAAGAGTCTCCTGCTGTCGAAGAGTCTCCTGCTGTCGAAGAGTCTCCTGCTGTCGAAGAGTCTCCTGCTGTCGAAGAGTCTCCTGCTGTCGAAGAGTCTCCTGCTGTCGAAGAGACCCCTGCTGTGGAAGAGACCCCTGCTGTGGAAGAGACCCCTGCCGAGGCCAACGTGGAGGAGACTCCTGCCACAAAGGATGTTGTAGAGACCCCTGAGGAGACCAAGGACAGCACAGTGACACCTGAGGTTGTGGCAGCCGGAGCTGCTGCCGCCGCCGCCGGTGTTGCTGCTGTTGGTGTCGCCTCTGCTCTGCATAACTCTGACGCTACTCCCGCCGAGGTTGAGCACCAGGACTCCACCGATAAGAATGAGCCTGTCGACAACAAGACCGATACCAGTAAGCTGTCGCCATTCAATTTTGCGCAAAATGCGTCCGTACCATCCTTCGATGCTGATCCGGCTCTTGCAGCCCTTGCTGGCGATCGTGAAGCCCTTCTCCACAAGCTTCAACAGCCATCCACCGACCAGTTGACCGCCACTATCGCCGAGCAACCGTCTTCCAACGACAAGAAGGCCACCGTTGAGACCGAGGCGGAGCCTACTGAGCCGAGCAAGCTGACCCCCGAGTCCGCAGCCAACAATACGAATGAGGAAGAGGCTCGTCCAGTGAGCCAGAACCGGTCAGTGACAGCTGTTTCTCTGAATGGAGGAGGTGACAACTGGCTCAAGGCGTTCTTGCGCACGGTGTTTGTTGGCTTCTTCGGCACAATCTTTTCTCCTTTCCGCCGTCGTGGAAAGGAACAGAAGTAAAGATTTGTGTCGAAGTTCTCATCCCATTCATCTTTCCTTTGATGCTGCACATTAGTCACAGATTGATTGGGTCTACCAGAGATCAGAGATGGAATATGTCTACCGTCTGACTTACAGATACTGACATTGATTGATCTCAGGACCCCGAGTGCCTTGTTTTGGTTTACTATTGCTGTGACTCCCATTGTGGCGATACTTTGGCGCTATATGCCCTAAAGTGTTTTGGAGATGAACTGGCGAGTGAAAAAGTTGTCAAGAATGTTTTTTTTCTCTCCGCTTTTGATTCCCCTGTATTGATTACGATTTTCCTTTTCTCTATTTTGGTTGTGTTTCTGTGTGCTTTTTTGCCTTTTATTGTGTTTCGAGTTTGATGATTTTCTTTTGTCTCTCTTACTTTAGCATGCCTGGCCTATCTCAAGGACGATAAAAGTCGAGATGGGAGCTGGTATTTGCTTGGGTGGATCTAATGAGGCCCTTTTATGAACTTAATGAATGGATATGAATCAGTTTGAAGTATAGAAGTACACTACTAGTTAACTAGTATCTTGAATGTCTTGTTGATGTAGTTGCCAACCAAGTGTATTCACGCGTGTTTGTCGTCCCTGCCTTAGTACTACTAGCCAGTGGTATAGTACTGCTTCCCACCATTCACTTCCCAGCGACTTCCTTCCACCTTCCACCTTCACAACATTTGTTTACCTTCTGCGCTTCAGTTCCTCTTTTTTCCAGCTCATATCTTCGACTCTACTATTCCGCTCCCTTCCACCGTGCCGACTCAAAATGGTTAACTTGACCGTCCTGGTGCCTGACAGCAGGCCTTCCATGCAAGATTCACGCCAGGATCACAGCTCTTCATCCAGCTTCTCCTCCACTGGACTCGCCTCTCCTCCTCTCAATCCCCCCTACAAACTATCTGTTTTCTCCGAAATTCGACTTCAGCAAAGAAAAGGCGGACACCCCCATGAAAGGAAATGCGTTCGCACTCATGAAGGCGGCGCGAGAGAACAGCAAGCTTCCTCGCAGGAGCACTGGTAAGATCGCAGCCTGACCAAATCAACATTACTCCTTGATACATCTTGAATAAACTCAACTGAATCCAAGTGACTGATCTTTCGTTCTAGAAAAAGATTCCCCGAGTCCAACAAGCCCCGGTGATGAAGTAGGTCGCCCAAGTATGACCTGCAAGGTATCTGGTCTCGACTACGAAGAAGATCTCGCCCTACCAATGCCAAAGCCACATCGTTCTCGAGGCAATTCACCTGAGGCAGATGCCATTTTTGAGGATTACCAGACACCCCTGGAGAATCTGCCCTCTCTGAATGAATTTCCATCGCGTGAAGTTTCTCCTTCGTGCGAGTCAACCACATCTACTGTTCCCGAGAGCAAGAAAAGATCGAAATTCCAAGCTCTCAAGTCCAAAATGAGCTTCAAAGATTTGAAGAAAGAACTTCCAAATGATGAAATTTCCGATCCGATTCCTGTCCCAACATTGACTGAGAACACCAAGCCTTGCCTTCGTCGCCCTCTCAACAGTGCTACCACCATGCCGTCAATCGCGTCTACTGCATCCACAACGAAGGTCAGGCCGACGCTTAACCAGATGACCCTCACTCGGAAAGTGAGTGTTTCTACCAAGGCTACGTCTTCCGTCAATACCAGCGCCACCCCAAGCCGGATACCTCTACCACCTTCAAATACATTGTCACAAGGAGGCGTTCCCTTGAAGGTACATGGTAGCCAGCGCCGTACTTCAGGCCAGAGACCTCCAAGCTACTCGTCAAATGCAAGCAAGGAAGAAAGGGTGGTAACGGACTCCAGCCTTGGAACTGCAAGCTCGAATACCCGTGAGAGTCACCAACTCGACATTGTCGTCACACGTCCAGGCCCTGAAGGCGCTTTAAACACCTCGAGTGTGCCCCCGTATCTTGATCGACCAAAATACCCGGTCACTGGCGAATCGCCTCCTCATCCTCATGATCTTTTGGAGGGAAGCGGCAAAGTCAAATACATTCCAAGGACATGGTTGGATGGGCCTTGCCCGCCAACTTCTTCGCCGCTCAATGGGAAAGACTCGGTCGAGTCCACCAGCACAGTGAAACAATATCGAAGCAGTTCTATTCCTTCTCGCGTCCCGACGCTGAAAGAGCGGTTCGAGAAGGCAAGCCTTCCTTTAGAGGAGTCCACCAATGGCCCAAGGCGTCCCATGGGGCTGCAGGTCGATGAAATCGTCGAGATGGTCCGCTCAATCCAACGCCACGCCGATACTGGGATTGAGGGTATGACCAAAAAGCTGGAGGAACTCTCCACCTGGATCACTGATCAGCTCAACCATCATATCCAGAATATCACGGATCTCTCTCGAGCCAACTCAGACCTTTTTAATAAGCAGAGTCAGCTCTCGCGAGAAATGATGAGTTTCCAGCTGGCCATTCGTCTTGAAATTGGCGGTATGGAGCGACACCTCAATGGCTTCGAGATGCAGCTGGTGGATGAGTTACAAGCGGAGGTCCGGGCGTTGGCGAAGTCATACGAGGAATTGAACATAAAAACCGATGCTTTGCTCCAGGATCATTTGAAGGATGAAGCGAAACATTTCATGGAAGTCCAGCGCATGAAAAACACTGAGATCAAAGCTGAGATTGCGTATCTCAAAGGTCATGCTCCCCATGATTCTGCATTGCTTCCCCCTCCTACCCTCCCCATCATGCCAGCTATGAGCGTCTCGAGCACGCGCAGTATCGAGCCCCTGATCAAAAAGATTGAATCTACCGTCAAAATCGCCGAAGAGCAGGCCAGACTCAAAGATATCGCCACGAATGCAGGCGTCCTTGCAATTGCGGCCACGCATCCCCCTATGCTACCGCCTCCTCGACCTCCAATGAAAGTATCAACTTCTGGTGTCAAAAGACTCTCTCCGACAAATACAGATGAGGGGGAGACGAAGAACAGAGAAGTTTGTGTCAGTGAAGACAAGCCTGCGGGTGACTTGCCGCGCAGCACTTCTCTAACGAAGAAAGGATTTCTAAAGAATAGTATGACCAATTCTCCTGACCAGAAAGAAAATGCACACCAGAAGGCAGGACATGGCATCAGGGACGAACCTAAGAAATGGAGCATTTTTGGATTCCGTCGCCGCCATGCTACTTCCAGCAGAACTACCCCCAGCATTGATACCAAAGCACGCTCTCTGTCTTCCCTGAAGCCTGCTAAAGAGCAGGCGAGATCGGATAATCAAAAGGACAAAAGTAGCACTGGCTCGTCAACACCCCCCGGCCCTTCCGTCCCAGTCCAATTTGCCTACGAAACTCCGAAGAAAGACAATATTTCCTGGAAACCACTCCATCCAGCCTTGCGATCCGCTGAGCCCAGAAGATCAAGTTCGCTCAAAAGGCCCAAAGCTGCACGATCACGACCACCGCCCGTCGATCTTTCGTCTCCTCTCCATCGTGGGCGAGGCTTATCACCTTTGTCTCCTGCGGTCGAATGGTATTCGACAGCCTGTTCTTCAGCGGGCAGCAGTGCTCTTCCCACCGCAATCGGTCGATTGCCGCCTTACTCTACTGTCCACGGCGGGAAAAGTTCATCAAGCTTGCCTCCTATCGCTCAAGTGTGCCCATCCACGCCTACCACCTCTTCTTCGGCGGACGGTGTTCCTCTTCCAAGCTCGGACGTGGAACCAGCTTTAGTTTCTGTGTCTGAGACGGAGACTAAGACGAGTGAGAGCGATGATGATGTAGAGGAGCAGCCATTGCTTGCTGGCGATGACACTGGGACCGAATGGAGCTATGTTTCCAAGACGGAGATTCGAGGTCATGAAACCACGATTTGATTCTAACGTACGCCCAGCCCGGTGGTTCTCTCACTGGGCTGATTTTCATGGGTAAACAAAAGAGGTGGGAGAACGATGGTCGAAAATTGGTCGATTTGATGTGGTGATATGGTGTTGGTAGGCGTCGATACATTAAATTTTCCACAGTATGGGTTGAGTTTTCAATATCGAAATGGATCTAGGGCTTACTGCTGGATCTGCGAATAATACATGTGAACACGAGTGATGAGAATTAACCATAATGATCGGAATGAGCAACGAATTTTTTATGAAATGTACACTAGGCGTGAATATCCAATATTCTTAGTAGTATTCTCACGTGAAATCATCCAACGCTTTTCCAGTAAAAAAAAGTAGTAACCGCAAAATGCAATATGCCCCAGGATATTATTCACAAAGACGAAGATACAAGAAATGAACCTTTTACTTCGAAGAGGCGAGCATCTTTTCGATATCAATAGCCGCCTCTCGGACCTGCGGACAGTAATGCTGGCGCAGCAATTCGCCCTCCCACACGGAGCCGGCATATACATTCGTAGCCTCGACATCAGTCGCGTAGGGATTGAACACACCATCACCCTTGCGCTCATCGGAATGCCACAGCGAAGAAATGCGACGGGCATTGTGCTTCGCGACCTGGTTCATCAGGGCCAAGGTGGCCATGGCGGATTTCTCGGGCAGTTGGAGCGCAGTAGTCATGAGACGCTTGGAGAAGGTGGCAAGTCTGACTGGAGGGGGCATGCCGTGGGCACGGGAGATCAAGGTGAAGTGGAGGCAGCGGAGGAGTAGGACCATCGGAGTCTGGAAGTTAACCTTGTTTCTTGAGCGGGCCTGAGTGAGTTGATTCTCATCGTCGGCATTATTAGGGTCGGCCAGGCGCAGCGAGGTGTTAGGGTTGAACTCGACTTCGGAGTTTGTGGAGAGGGAGTAGAGGGAACGGTAGAGGTGTTGGACGAAGAAGCCAAGGTCCAGGTGGAGAGTTGAAGCGGCCTTACTGGCGTCTTGGCCTTCCAGTAGGGCGAATGCGGTGATTGTGCATAGCAGGGCTTCACGGCGGGTATCGCGGGGTCGGGCGCCCTGGGCTTCGGTCTCTTCTTCGACCTCCTCATTCTCATCTCCTTCTTCGGCCTTTTCGTCGCGCTCGGCATGGGCGATGAGGTCCTTCATTGCCTCCAACAGGTCACCGAAGAAGTCCTGGTTGATAAGGTGGGCGTACTTGGCCAGACCCTCAAGGACAGGGCCCATGAGTTTGGGAATTCGTTGCTTCAGAATACGGAAGTAAATACCAAAGACAAGCTTGAGAGTCTCCGCCTGGTTCTTGTCTCTGTCTTCGTGGGAGACAAGAGCGTCGGCTTGCTTCATATCCTTCTCGACAATCTTTTGCTCCTTCATCGTCTTGCGCAGCTTCTTGGTACGGAATTCCCGCACTTGCTTTTTTTTGCCAATGGGGGCTTCTTCCTCTCGTCTGTCCACACGATCACGCGAGGCCTTTTGTGAAAATTCACCCAGTAGACGTAAGCTGAGGAAGGTATCCAAAACAGTCTCGTTGATTTGGAAATCTCTAGCCTTCATCATCTTTGACAATAACTTGACGGCTTCCAAGGAGACCAGGCCGTCCTCGTCCTTTCTGAAGATACTCTCCAAGCTCTCGCGGCACTTGACAAAGTCCGCATCGATCTGTTTCCTAGCAAGTTTGTTCACAAGAATCTTGAGCAATTCGTTGCGGAAGTTGAAGTGGGGCACTGACTCAAGCATAGTGCAGGTACAGTTGATGGCGAGGCTCTTCAGACTCGGATCGACGTGAACGTTCTTGCCCGGCTTGGTCAGGGCACCCAGTGTTTGCACGTAATTCCGGTATCCAGCCACGAGAGCCTGCTCGAAATCTCGGAGCTTGCGCACTTCCTTGGAAACTTTACCGCCCATTTCCTCCTCGGTGATGGGACGAATTCGGTAACCAGGAATCACATCTTTGTAGATAGCAGCCTGTGATGCGAGGGCCAACTTCTTGACCGTGATTGGCGCATCGGGCCTCGCGGCCATGTCGGCCATTGTCTTGAACAGAGCTGTGTGTTCTTCGGGATCTTCGTTGATCAGAGTGGCCATGCGGGCGAGCTCTTCCTTGGCCTGCATGATCTGGACCTTTATCGGAATCTTGGGCTTCTTTTCCTCGACCTCCTCGCTCTCGGAAACATCATCGCCCTCGTCGTCGGTCCCCAAGAAGCTGTCGGTTTCTTCAGCGGCATCGGCGTCGGCGTTGGCATCGGCATCAGGAGTTTGTGTCTCCACCTCGTGGACGAAACCCTCGGAGGTCTTAATGGGCAATCGGTTGTTCTCAGTCTTTTTCTTCTCCGACTTGCGCGGGCGACGTTCGTAGTCCTGCTCAACATCCCATTCGTCCTCGGAATCGCCGTAGGCCTTGGCGTTGGCCTTGGATTTCGAAGGCTTGCCTCCGTCGACTGGAGGACTCAGCCGCCTCCTTTTCACAGTCGGACCGCGCGCCATTGTGTCGTTTGAATGCAATTGTGGACGTTGTGACAACGAAGGGTCTGCGAGATTATTTGGTGGGCGGTGGCTACTTTTTTTCGACTTTTCTGCCCACCACATCCTCTCACCGCCCACCTATCGGGGTAGGTTCCTGATATTTTTTTATCGGCATCAACGTTGGACCTGAAGACCATTTCGCATTCATCAATCTTCCACCGGTGCTGTCGACAGCCCTTTCCGTCAAAATGCGTGCCCTCGATGAGACCGAAACCCGCACAATGTTCACGAAGCTTGCTTCCTACACCGGAGCATCTTTGTCCAACCTAATTGCGCCGCCTGCTGAAGGTACCGCTGTCACCGAGAGAATGGTCTTCCGACTTGTCAAGGACCGAGTGTTCTATCTCCCCGAGCGCATTGCCAACTTCGCCACTTCGATTCCCCGCGATTCCCTCCTGACTGCCGGCACAATGATCGGAAAGTTCACAAAGACTGGAAAGTTCCGTTTGAACATGAGCAGCTTGAGCATCATTGCGCCTCACGCTCGCGTAAAGTGCTGGGTTAAGTCTAACGGAGAGTGAGCAATCCCCCGTTCGAGATACTTTGAGCGATATGAAACTCATCATTGTGAATAGAATGCCTATCCTTTACGGATCTAATGTGTTGAAAGCCCATGTCGCCAGATGGTCGGAGGATGCCCCCGAACACTCGGGATGTGTTATCTTCAACCAGAATGACACCCCTCTTGTGAGTTGTCTGCTTTGTAGATGAATCCAGAAGCATGAACTAATCTCTTTCCTCTTCCTTAGGGCTTCGGTGTGACCGCGAGATCGACTGCTGTACGAACCAACAAATCTTAAGGTAGCCAAGACATTGCTAACTATTTCTTAGGAGATGCGCAAGCTGGAACCCACCGCTGTCGTCGTTTTTGCACAGGTATTCTCCATATCTTTTTTCCCGTTCAAATTCCCCCATCAACTAACCCGACCTAGGCCGACGTCGGAATGTACCTGCGCGACGAAGATACCATGTTCACTACCTAAGCAGGATCTTGACAGGCTTGAATCTTGCATGTTCGCATACTTGATCAGGATGGGAGTTTTGGAGTCAATTACTATCATGTAAAAAGTGCTATTGTCTCTTCGGGGATCTACTATACATCACGATATTTTTCAACGAACAATTTTCAAATCAGCTGTGCCTAATATAAAATTTTCAAACATCAATCTGGATAGGGTAAAACCTGAGCATTCAACATTGCCATTCAAAGTTTCCCCTTCAACGAGTCCTGTGTAACCACTGGCGAGCTACTAGTAACTAACCCAGGTCCCACTTGAAATGATGGTTAGATTCATTTCTGCCTGAGGCACACGCTGAGTCATCCTGCCCGCATCGCGATGCACCAAGACCAATTGCTCGCATCAGAGAATTGGAGAATATATTCTAACCCAGGACTACGGCTGTGAACCGTTATCTTCCAGTGACATCCACATTTAAACCCAGTCTCGTCGCATCTCACACCGACACGTTCTCCTCTCCGCAACCCCCCATCATTCACTGCGGGGTGCAAATATCACAACCCCACCATGCCACCTTACTCTACATCCCAGAAGCAGGCTATCGCCCAGTTTGTCAATCTTACAAATTCCAAGGACTCTGTTGCCTCAAAGGTCAGTATTGACTAGACTTGCTCTCCCCATTCCATCCCGGACATGCGTTGTCTGATCGTTCGACCTGGCCAATGTACCTCATGAACCCACCACTGACTATCATTCTAGTCGTTGAGGGCAACAGGATGGAACCTCGAGCGCGCCGTTGATGCGTAAGTCTCACTGTTTGCTATCGAATTCGAACCCATCCCATACATCTATACATGGTGTCTACGGCACGGTTACCCGCCTGCCTGCCTCGCCTTGAGATATGCTTCCAGCAGCGCATCAATCCTGCCGTCCACCTACATCATCAATATCGAAAACGTGAGAAGAGACTAACATTACTATTCCCAACGAACAGATTCTTCAACAGCAGTCCCGGTCCCTCGAAAAGCACAAAGTTTCTCAACGAAGTCTTCGATTCATACCGAGGTAAGTCTCGCACCGAACAATCTCCAAATCGCAATTCACCCCGTTAAACCTTCCCGTTCAGATGACGCAGAAGAAACACCCGATGGCATCGGAATCGACGGCGCCATGAGGTTCCTCGGAGATATCGAAGTCCAACTAGACGAGGTTGCCTGCCTAGCCATCTTCGAGATGTGCAAGTGTCCATCCATGGGCGAGTTCACGCGCGAGGGCTTCGTAGATGGATGGAAATCAACAGAGTAGGTTCTACTCAACTCAATACCCTCTTTATTTGTGTCACTTGAATCTATTACCACTACTAACCCACCCACCCCAGATGCGACGCCAAACCCAAAATGGCCCAACATGTTCAATATCTCCGCAGCAATATCCCCAAGGACCCAGAACTCTTCCGACGAGTATACCGCTTCACGTTCCCGCTGTCCCGAATGCAAGGACAGCGCAATTTGCAATTCGAAATCGCGTCCGAACAGTGGAATCTTCTGTTCACCGCTGACCGGGGCGGCGTGCCCTGGAACACGGCCACGACGCCGTGGCTAGATTGGTGGATTGAGTTCCTCGAGGGACGGGGTAAGAAGCCTGTTAACAAGGATCTGTGGGAGCAGACGGAGGTGTTTATGCGGAAGAGTCTAGATGATGAGAATTTTGGGTGGTGGAGTGCCGATGGGGCGTGGCCTGGGGCTCTGGATGACTTTGTTGGGTATGTCAAGGGGAAGAGGGGGCATGGGAGTGAGATGGAGGTTGAATGAGGTGGGATGAGTTCGATTGGTGGATGGACTTGTCACAAGAATTGCCCAGGCCTATAACTAAAAGGGTTGAATCCTAGATGTCTGTCATACAGGTGTCAAGGTCTTTGAACTGACTGGCCATGATATGTAGTATGTTCCATTTGTCGCGAGTACGATTAATGGATAATTTAAACTTGCTTTCCCAATACGTAAAGGAAACAACAAGCCGTATTTATTCTGAACCTACTAGTATCTAAATACCTCGAAGACCTAGAGGATATCACGACCACAGTATTGGACCGATGTGGGTTGAATTAGAATCCAGCATATGTACCTAAACCTAAATCTCCAGACGGAGAGTGAAGTGGAAGGAAGTATTTGGGGGGCGGAAAATGGGCATTCGTCGTAAAATTTGAGAGGAAAAAATAACATCAGGGAGAAAGGTATCTGACGCATACCAAGATGCAGGGGATGTGTACATGAGTCAAAACACCGGGACAAAACATGAAATACAAAAGAAAGAGTAATAGATGGCTGCAGATCGGGAGAAGCGTGGGTATGCATGGAACGTTTCAGCCATATACTAGGATATCTGCGGCTCCTTGTCTGCAGCTGCGACAGGGTCCCTTCAAGGGTAGTTGTCGCGCTTCTCGTATCCGCCGTCGCGGCGCTCGTTGTAGCGCTGCATATCGTGTTAGTGGTGTCTGATACTCGATTCTGATACTATTGTCGGGAATGAACGTACCTTGCGGAGAGCTTCGAGACGCTTCTTCTTGGTGTGGGTGTTGACATAGGTTCCAATGAAGAAACCGATGATGTTGAAGAAGGGCACCCAGGTGTGCTCGGGGAGGAACTTCTGGGCAAAGGCCAGGGCCAGAGGGGAGGTGACCCAGCTGACCTTCATGACGGGCAGGAAGCCAGCGCGGACGGTGGCGCGGACCTGGTGGAAAGTGCGCGCGCCAGCAATAATCGCCATCGAGGTCAGGTAGACTGAGTTTTGGATGGGGGAGATCTGGAAGAGAGGAATGCGTTAGGATGGATGACGTGCGATTGCGCGAACGCGGGAACCTTTGAGAATCGGATTGGATAGAACGCGATAGACTTACGATCAAGTTGCTAACGAGAATCTGGAGGATCTTGGCCTTCAGGCTGGTGCGGCCGGCGAAGATCTTCTGGAGAATGCCGATGAGGACGTGGCCCAGCGGCGCGGCAATGAACATTCCGTAGAGGGACATCTTAGGGATGCGCGAGCTGAAGTAGTGACCATGCTTGCCGACATCATGAGCGAGCCACGAGGCGAGCAGCTCTTGCACACCAGAGAGGACACCGGAGGTGAGCATCTTGGTGCGCAGCGGGTTGTGCTGCAGCTGCTTGAGGTAGGCCTAATGATCCACATTCTTCGGATCAGCTGGGGGGTTCCATCGGTCGGAGAATATTGCAGAGGAGTGATAAATACCTGAAGATAGCCAGTCTGGGTCTTTCCACCAGTCAATCGCTCGCCGACGCGGTGAGCGAGGTCCTCGGGCTTACCGGCGTTCGCGACCGCGCGAACGGTCTCCTCTTGGAATTTGACAGACATGGTGGGCTAAAAGGTGGGGATAAGAGGATATGAGAGAATCCGAACGCGCCTAGAAATGGAGAAAGGTCGACTGGTCAACAATTGCAGGAATAAAAAACAACGTGGATCGATCGCGGAATTATCGGGAGAGGGAAGTGGAGGGAGTAGGGGGAGGCCGGTGCGTTGTTTGTTTATGAGAAGGTTGGGGCCCGAGGGGGGGTGGACTGGCTGACTGGGGGGGGCTGGGGGGCAAACTGGAACAATTCAATGGGGACAGACAAGTCGGAGCTCGGTCTGGAATTGGTGGAATTGTTTGAATAGCCGAGGCTGAGATGGAAGTTGGGGGGGGAGGAGAACAGGGGTTAAATTCTTACCTTGGACAATCCGGGGATACAAGAAAGGTTAAGGAAGATGGGGTAGAGCCGAGTATAAGAGGGAGCGGTGGACGAGTCGGCAGATGAGTTGGGCAGTCTGTAGTAGTACGGGTAACTAGCAGTAGTGGTGGTACTGGTACTAGTACTGGCAGGCATCCCCGGCGAAGTCCAACTGCAGTCGGAATTCTCCGACGTAAAAGGATCTCGCCGTTGCCGGCCATCCCGTATTTATTTAACCCAGGAAGGACTAGCCGAGAATATAGCAGAATAAAGTATAAAGTACGGAGTATAAATCACAGAATACTTTAGCATGAATTTACCTAGATCTCCCATATTAAATACCCTCATCCATACTCTACACTGTACAGAGATATTCTAGCCCAGTCCAGAACTAGTGGCCACCTCCGTACAGTGGAACCTCGGTATACCGATGAAAAATCCGCTTTCATAATGCCCCGTCATAGGTGGATCTCTGGTATCAAAAAGCCATTGCACGACAGAGTACTCCTCATACTCTGACTTTCTCTAACTACTGCTGAATTTCCGTTATTTTACTGTGAACCTGTTCACTGAGTACCCATACATGTTCACACTTATCTGCTTCACCCTCATGCATACAGAATGCACTCTGTATCCGTGGTACAACCCAGCCAAAATTTATTCCTCCATAGGCTGGTCCTTACCACAAACTTTGTCCTGTCTGGAACATTTTTGTGCAATCATACCTGCAGAACATAACCTAACCTGTCCATGTGATCGGCATGCCGAATACGTTGCACCGGGCCCGTTCCTACATACCCGAATCAAACCTAATCAAAGCAATCATCTATAGGTGTGATTTGACGTATGCCCTCTCCACAACCAGACACTCTTGGTTTAATGGCGGTTATATAGAATAGCTCCAGCGCATAGTATATGTGCTTTTCAACGTGAGCCACCAGGTTTTATTGGAAAGCCACTCCAAACCACCTGTTGTATAGATCGGACGCAATCCCGGCTTGACAATAGGCTCAAAGGCCACCTGGGCAAACTATGAAAGATCATTGTGGCTGCTTAGTGAAACTGATCAACACATACAAACATACACGCACAGAACACGTCCTTATTTCCAAGGTTACGATGAGTCCTGCGCGTGATTGGCCGCTCAGCGCCGGCGAGGTCATCGGTGCTGGTGAAGCCTTTTCAGGATGCTTTGCTTCTCAGCCCTTCATTGATATTGCTCCACTCTTCTTCGATCTGAACCATCTAGAGTTTTACCTGAAGAATCATGGCACTTCCACACTTTATTACCCATTTCACGACCTTCATGGCCGGACTCCTCAAGCGTGTGCTCTCCTGGACCCGGGGCCGGAGCTTGACACCGAGCACTTCCAGCACAGTCATACACACTCCTCAAATTCCATCGCGAGAGTACTCTTCAGCGGTCCCGCACTCAACTTCCACTATTCCTGAATCTCCACCGCCTCCACATTACATGGAAATGGCCATCACTCGTGCCATAGAGGTATGTGGCTGATTTCTGCCTAGACAACAAGTGCGTCACTAACAGAATACCTCGAAGGCTATCCAGCAACTTTTCAGGGCAACCCGCCCCAACGACGCCATCTCCCCATATGAGACTTCTGGCGACGAGGTTTCCGCTGTGCCGACTGATGGATGGTTTTTCAAGGAGGCAACATATTCCCGCGACCGGATCAATGAATGGCGCAAGAAAGTTAAGCCAGTTCTCATTGGCGTGATTCACGAGGAAGATGAGCCTGACGAGGATGTTTCTGCGATATTGTAACAGAGCAGCAAGAGCATGAGACCAAAGACATAATCCCACAGACGGAAGCACATCGAATATCAGGCAACGGAACTCATGAGTTGAGGAGGGCTTCAATGAGGAGATTCTGAGTGCTGGATGTTGTCCCTAGTTTTTGATTGTATTCATCTTACAATGACAAAATAATCGGAGACAATATGTTGAATAAAAGGACATATCTACCAAATGATGCTCGCGGGAGGAGCAGAAAGCCACTATAGAGCAACGAACTCGGAGTATGGGAGGTCACCAGCCGCACCTCCCTCCATTCGCTCTCACTCTCACTCTCACCTTCACCTTCACCCTCCCATCAACCCTCAATTCGAATCAATCCCATTCTCTCGGACAATTAGTCGAATTGCCTCAAGAATTGCTATTGTTCTAGCAATTCAGCATCTCATTCATCGCGTCAACTTTGAACCAGGTACGATAGCTGACTATGTCCATTGACCTGAACCTGCTCGTCCTATTCACTCACATCCCATCTGTACAATGAGATCAAACGAAGAGCATTAAAAAGATTCCATCTGTGTGTACGTTCGTGTGGTTTCTCCATATCATCTTGCAGGTCAACAACAATCTATCCAAATATTCGGTCCGAACATCCTTCGATACGCCCAGCCACGATAGACCAGTCGATAAACCCTCCCAAAACCTCCATACATTCAAAAGTAGTGTCGTTGCAAATTGACATTCGCTGCACATGGACTCCAAGTCTGATCTCGAGCTCCAACACGAGCTCGACCGCGACCTTCAAGACGAGCTCGAGGAGCTCAAAGGGTGTCACTCTTCGCCCCTTCCTGCTTGTTCTTATTATCCTTCTACGATTGCTCTCCTCCATACAGATGAGCCTGGGTCTGCTTTGGAGCATCTTGCTCCCGATGAACCCTTCGAACTGTCTGAGAAAGAGAGGCCAATAACACCCGTACGATCCAATGTTGCCCCGTCTCAAGATGAAAACTCTACCGTCAACGCCCCGTCGCCAGAGGATATCCGAAATGCAAGCTATCGAGCTCGAGCGGGTCCATATTGCCTTCACGAAACGGTTCAGCGCTACTGGAGCATCGATCCATTTACGCCTCTGTGGTGCGAGAACAAGGACTGCGGTCGACCTGCGCGGTTTCTCTATGAATGCACGGCGGACACAGCAGAATTCTCGCCGTTTGTACCGTCACTCCCCGAGCGAAGCATCGAGATCTTGCCCACGTGGGTCCAAAAGGCCATCGGCGAGGGCCGTTATCTTCCGGCCCAAGTGGAAAAGCTCATGGACCAGAAAATGAAAGTGCTCGAGACTGCAGCCAATCTGCGAGAGCAGGTCCCACCCACACACAGGGCTCTGCCTGGAGGGCGAGGCTTGGCTAATGATCAAGAGGCAATTGACCAGCGGGATTATCGAGAATTAATGCAACTTTTGTCGGCCCGGACTCTGAGTTTCTCAAATCTGGAGCCCTGTCGAGCAATGTTTTGCACAATGTGTCGTTCTCATACGTCTGATAATTCCTGGGGTAGTATTGCCAAAGTCGTCAACGAGCCCTACGAAGAGCCTCTTCGCACCCCGGCAAACATATGCCGCCCAGTCATCGATGTTTGGAAGCTGCGTGGTCTGCCTGAAGATCCTACTCACTGGCAACATACTAGATGGTTTCGAGAATGGTGGGGAAAGTACCAATATCCAGCCAACAATGATGTTACGCTGGTCCTGAATCTCGTCGTGGCGCTGAAACTTCCATTCCTCGTTCTCCAGAGCATCCAGGGCTGGGTTTGTTGGCAACAGATGCCTCCGCTCGAGTTCCAAGACTATCTCACATGGTTAGAGACTTTAACGCCAGAAAGGCTTCGAGAACATGCAGACCGAATCGGGGACCCCTGGGAGCTACAGTTCCAGGCAGAAGCTATCGCATATTCTTACCTTTCGCCCGGTACTCCGTCAACCCCACTCAGTATTCACCCGATCTGGGAAGAAGTCGAGGATCCAGAGGAGACATCGAATGAGAAATCCGTAAAGGCTGTTCCTCACTACGAGTATGGGCCATGCGATCGTTTCGTTGGCAGATCTTCGTATAATCTACGAGACGCTATGTGGAACTACAACCACACTCGATCCCAATTTCTCGGACTGGAGCAGAATGAAGATAACCTCCCAAGCGCCGCAGCCGATGACAACGACTTGGTCCCCGAGGCAGAACCCGATCCTGATATCTCTGGTGTTGAAACAACGGCGATCGATGACTGGTAGATATCCCGTCTCTCCCGTCGATTATTGCCTTGGGTGATTTCCGAAAGCAAAGGCCGACGCGCTGACGAACGAGTCGCCGCTATTGGTTCAACAGCATCGACAATTTGATTTTGCACAGACATTGGAGTGTGCAGGGATGTTGAGATATTCCGACTCAGATCTGAGATATTCCGGCACCCAAAGGAGCAGGACGACGAGCGAAGGGTCTAATCGGGCTCGAAATACCCGCGGGTGGGGCGGGCGTCCGCGTGAAGGGAGGCCGAGTCAGGCAGTCCCAACCTTGTTCCGAGCCTCGGTTCCTTCCGCGGCCAGCGCGCAATTCCGCAGAGCGATTATCTTGTGAACTTTTTGGGCTCCAAGCGAGCTTCTTTTTTTCTTGTCTTCTTCATCTTCTCTCATTCACACCATGGCAGACCCAGAGCACCCTCCCTCTTCGTCAGCAGAAAAGACCGTGGACGCTCAGCATGTGGGGAATGGTCCGATAGCCGCGGGGAAACCAGCGACAAGACAACAGTTGACGGCGGCTTTGACAGCAGCCGATGTGACCATCAGAAGATTAGATCTGTGAGCCTTCCCTATGATTTTGCCAGCTCTATACCCAGTCGACTTTCAAATTGCAGGGCAACCCCGACCTGTACCAGCCCACTCGCACACCTGCCCGCAAAGACAACGCTAATTCCTCAAGTCTCCTCTCCACGGCCGACGGACAGGAGAGAGTATTAGCAACAGTCAATTATGTCGCCTCGATCCTACACCACCTCAGTGCATCGGCACCCTTCATAGCTTTCCAGACACGCCTCAGCCTTCTCGCCCGATTGAAAGGTCGCACCTTATCCAAAACCCCATCTTCTCCGATCACCCCATCACCCTCAAAATGGGCCGCCCTCTCCTCTCTTGCCTCGGAGACACGATACACTATCCGCCTCTTCGGCCTTCTCCCTCTCTGGATCTGGGGGTCTGAAACCCTCAAATCACCACCTGCGGACCCCATAATCCGCACTCTCACATATCTCCAAATCATCTCCAACGTGATCTACCAGCTCCTCGAGAACGTCGGTTATCTAGCAACAAAGGGCATCATCTCCAAACGCTTCGTCGAAAAATACGGCAGCCTCGTACAATGGGACCTCTGGAGCACCCGCGGCTGGTTCGGACACATTTTCCTCGAATTCTTCGTCCTCTGGCGACAACACGTTCTACGGAAACGTCGCGTTGCGGCAAAACGCGCGGCCGCGGGCAACGTTGAAACTAAGGAGATGAAGGAGGAGGAGGACGCCGAAACCCGCGCCGAGATTCGCTCTTGGCGCAAGACCCTCGTCAACAATATCTGCTGGGCCCCCTTGTGTCTGCACTGGTGCTTTGAGCAAGGAATCGGTGTTCCAGATAATCTGATCGGTGTGGTTAGCTTTATGGCTGGTGCTTGGAGCCTGCATGATATGTGGGGTGCTACGGGCAAGGCAATTCAGGCATAAACCGCATTTTTTGTATTCTTCTTTATTTCTTTTCTCTCTCGCTTCAAATATCCCTTTTGTTTTGGCGATTTGGACATACCCTTCATCCTTAGATTCTCATTTAATTGTATGAATTAGATCGCCTAAGAATTTCAACATCTTGGTCAATCGTTGGTGTTTCATTTTGCGGGAACCGTCGCCCCCAACTAGACTGAATTTAGCCACGGCGAATAATGTTAAAGCCATCACTTCCCCGGGTACATAGTAATTGATTCGAAATTTTTCGCGGGAAACTTGAACCGCCTATCACCATCTCCCTTCTAATTTCCCCGGTCTCTCTACAAACCCAGAGCAAGCTATTCCGGTGGACCCAAAAAATAGCTAGACCCGATTCCCGGTCCCAAAAAGTATGCCGCGACGATCGCGGCAATTGCCATTTGAAAGAATTTAAAGGATAGTGCCGCCCTGGAGCCCACCGTCAGTACATACTCGTATGCTTTTGGGCAAAAGGCTGAGTTGCCCTGGAGTTCGGTCCCGCTTTATTGATGTGGGGAGTGGGTTCGTGTTCGAGATGTGGAGTTGGTGGCGGTTCAGAAGGGCATCTTGACGCGAATTAGGCGGAGATCTGAAATTGATGGAGATTCTGCTTTTGGGCAATGGATTGTAAGGCTTGTTTTGATGTTGAACATTCTAATATTGATGCCGTAATTGGGTGCATTTGTCTTCCGGTATTTCGCGATAATCGCTGTCTCTGCGGAATCAGCATTTTCATTGTCGTCTGTGCTTTTGTCACACCTTTTCTTTTGTCTCTTCTTCCGGCTGTCGCGGCAGACTGATATTCTTAACTAATCTAAGTTTACCTGAAATATCTCCGAACAATTCCCAATTTCCTTCTTACATTCAGTTCGTATCAACCTTTCCGACGCAGCGTAAGTGTGGTCCCTAACATTCATGGATGTGCCCCCAAATTTACCCTCTCTCTACATTCAAAAATTTTATATCTGTCTTATGTCCCCGTGGCACGCTCTTGCGTACGTTGGATCTGAATTCACATGGTCTTATCGATATAATGCAAGCGAAACAAAGCATTCGATCATTTTGGTGAAACTAAATTACTAAACAATTTCGATCTCGGCGAGAACCATGATCCAAGGTACTCTCATTGCTTTTGAGTCTAACATTTCCCTCCGAAGCCCCCGGCATGAAAAGGAAACCTTGGAATTGACCTTGTGTGAATGTCTTAACTCAAGCAATAGACTGGCATTGAATCTGTGGATTGAGCAGAGTTTCATTGTTAGGAAGAGTATTATTGCGCATAGTGGCGGTTATAATAAGCGTTGGGCCGAAAAAGTCCTTCCAGGCAGCAAAATACACATTTTCCTGTAGAGGGATCACTTTAGGACATGAGCCACGGGATCGAAATAAGTGCCTCTTGAGAGCCTGTGCTGCTTATAGCAGCTCCTGCTCCACCGTCGCGTTGAATCTCAATATTGTCGTCTGGATGATGTCTGATAGGCCAATCGCAGTAGAATAATGGCAATGGTTTCCTGATTCAGGTGAAGCCCAGGATTTACAATGGATAGCATTATTCAAGGTGAGATAAATATTCTCTGAAGAGCTGCTTTGTCTTGTTGATTTTTCTTCTCCCGTCAAGAGCTTAGAACATTGCGCAATGAGTTGCGTCAAGTCAGTAAATGCTGAATTTGCAAATCGTTTGTTAAATGGAACATGTGCTTTTAAAATGAACTATATCAATACTCTGGGGGCAGTTCATTACAACATGAGTGTTGAGTATGGAAAATCATAGCGGATACGACTTGCCAATACTGTTATCAACAGCAATCTTCTGTTTTGAATTCGTCCAATGGATTCACACATCTCGGAGTGAACAGCGTTCTCTGGCACGGCAACAACGAAGGCCAAGAGTCAAGTCGGGGCTATAAGTTTGAGAGTGCCACAGACTGCCTGGAAGAGAATTTAGATTTACTGAGAAACAGGTGCCATGGGATAATTCTACTATTGTATGCACGGTTGATTAATGGGTCTCAGCTGTACATTCAAAAAAAGAATGTGTTTCTCAGTCTGTACCAGCATACCAGGAGATTCCAGAGAGCGGTCAACAGTGAAACACTCAACTTGAATTCAACTTTGAATTGAATGAATCCGAAGCTGCTGTGGTTAAGGAATACTACACATGCTATACCAGAGATGGTTGACTGGTCCTATGCTATGATCGATAACAGATTTAAACTTGTACACAATACTGAACATCATATGCATCAGCCATAAAATAATCGTGCCGCTGGTATTTCGCTATCTGACCAGCCAATTTGGACAATCGATGCCAAATACTAAATATCCTGGTCATAGCACTTCCAATTACCCCACAAAGGACAGAGGAACTAACGCTAGTTGGTTAAACACAACAATTTCAGCCTCAGGCAGCGAGATCGACCAACTTCCATCAGATTCGCTGGTGGCGGAGAGCGGGTGACATAATCTGGATTAGGTCATCCTCTATCGTCACTCACTCACGGCGGGTACCTGGGAAGCTCAACACCTATCCTCATCTTCATCTCCTCGCCGTCAGATCCTTTCCCTGGTCTGCTGGTTTCTTTCCCATCTCCATCGTCCTTTGAATCCTTCGTCTTTATTTCGTTCAATCATTCGAGCTACCACTCCGCCCGCTCGATTGTGATCTCCCCAACGTTTGCCTTGTTCAAGCTCCGCTCTCGTCAACGTCACATATCTCAGATCCTTCACGATGTCCGCCGAGCCGGAACACACCCACGAGAAGAAGAGGGTTAACCTCAGGTACGTCCATGGCTGACTCACTTTCAGTTTTTGCAATTCAAATGACTAACGGTGATACTAGGGATGCTTCAGGTGCCGAGCACAAGGAGGTGGGTTGAACAACCTGGCAATACAGCTTGGCCTACATAGACTCTAACATGACGCAGGAACTTGACACCTCTACCGCTATCCTCAAGAAGAAGAAGAAGCCTAACTCCTTGATGTAAGGACCCCCATTGATGATAGGTCTGCATGGAGGAGGATACTGACACCTCATTAACAGCGTGACGGATGCCGTGAACGATGACAACTCAGTTATCGCTCTTTCCAACAACACTATGGAGACCCTCCAACTTTTCCGCGGTGATACAGTTCTGGTGAAGGGCAAGAAGCGGAAGGACACTGTTCTAATCGTCCTGGCTGATGATGACCTGGATGATGGAAGTGCCCGCATCAACCGTGTTGTGCGACACAACCTCCGTGTCAAGCACGGTGATGTTATTACCGTCCACCCTTGCCCCGATATTAAATATGTACGTCTAGGTTTTGCCACTTCTTTCCCTGGTGTCTTTTACTAACCGTATCTCTTACTTTCTCCAGGCTAAGCGCATTGCCGTCCTGCCTATCGCCGATACCATCGAGGGTCTCACCGGCTCCCTCTTCGACGTCTACCTTGCTCCTTACTTCCGCGAAGCCTACCGACCAGTCCGCCAGGGTGACCTGTTCACAGTACGAGGTGGTATGAGACAAGTAGAATTTAAGGTTGTGGAGGTCGATCCCCCAGAGTACGGCATCGTCGCGCAAGACACCATTATTCACTGCGAGGGCGAGCCCATCCAGCGTGAGGATGAGGAGGGCAACCTCAATGAGGTTGGCTACGATGACATCGGTGGTTGCCGGAAACAGATGGCTCAGATCCGTGAATTGGTCGAGCTGCCTCTCCGCCACCCTCAACTGTTCAAGTCCATTGGTATCAAGCCTCCTCGTGGTATCCTTATGTACGGCCCCCCGGGTACTGGTAAGACCCTCATGGCCCGTGCCGTTGCCAACGAGACCGGTGCTTTCTTCTTCCTGATCAACGGTCCCGAGATCATGTCCAAGATGGCCGGTGAGTCCGAGTCCAACCTCCGCAAGGCCTTCGAGGAGGCCGAGAAGAACTCCCCCGCCATTATCTTCATCGATGAGATCGATTCCATCGCCCCCAAACGTGAGAAGACCAACGGCGAGGTCGAACGCCGTGTCGTCTCCCAGCTTCTTACTCTTATGGATGGTATGAAGGCTCGCTCCAATGTCGTCGTTATGGCCGCCACCAACCGTCCCAACTCCATTGACCCTGCCCTCCGTCGCTTCGGTCGTTTCGACCGCGAGGTCGACATCGGTATTCCCGACCCCACCGGCCGTCTCGAGATTATGTCCATCCACACCAAGAACATGAAGCTCGGCGATGATGTCGACCTGGAGACTATTGCCGCTGAGACCCACGGTTACGTCGGTTCCGATCTGGCCTCGCTGTGCTCTGAGGCTGCCATGCAGCAGATTCGCGAAAAGATGGATCTCATCGATCTTGATGAGGATACAATTGAGGCCGAGGTCCTCGACTCCCTTGGTGTTACCATGGAAAACTTCCGCTATGCCCTGGGTGTTTCCAACCCCTCTGCGCTGCGCGAGGTTGCTGTGGTCGAGGTTCCCAACGTCCGCTGGGACGACATTGGTGGTCTGGAGGAGGTCAAGCGCGAGCTTATCGAGAGTGTCCAGTACCCAGTGGACCACCCCGAGATGTTCCAGAAGTTCGGTCTCTCGCCTTCTCGCGGTGTGCTTTTCTACGGTCCCCCTGGTACCGGTAAGACCATGCTGGCCAAGGCTGTCGCCAACGAGTGTGCTGCCAACTTCATTTCCGTCAAGGGTCCTGAGCTGCTGAGCATGTGGTTCGGTGAGTCGGAGAGCAACATCCGTGACATCTTCGACAAGGCTCGCGCTGCCGCTCCTTGCGTTGTCTTCCTTGACGAGCTGGACTCTATTGCCAAGTCCCGTGGTGGCTCCGTTGGTGATGCCGGCGGTGCTTCCGACCGTGTTGTCAACCAGCTTCTGACTGGTAAGCATAACCCCCTACTCTCTTCAATCTGAACATTGCTAACATTCGAAACAGAGATGGATGGTATGACCTCTAAGAAGAACGTCTTCGTCATCGGTGCCACCAACCGTCCTGAGCAGCTCGATGCTGCCCTTGTCCGTCCTGGCCGTCTTGACACCCTCGTCTACGTTCCCCTGCCCGACCAGGCTTCCCGTGAGGGTATCCTCAGGGCCCAGCTCCGTAAGACCCCCGTCGCCGGCGACGTCGATATTCCTTTCATCTCCAGCAAGACCCACGGTTTCTCTGGTGCCGATCTTGGTTTCGTGACCCAGCGTGCCGTCAAGCTCGCCATCAAGGAGGCCATTTCTCTCGATATCGAGAAGACCAAGGCCCGCGAGGCCGCCGGTGAGGATGTCACAATGGATGACGAGGATGTGGATGAGGAGGACCCCGTCCCCGAGCTTACCCGTGCTCACTTCGAGGAGGCCATGAAGACAGCCCGCCGCTCTGTCAGCGATGTCGAGATCCGCCGCTATGAGGCCTTCGCTCAGAGCCTGAAGAACTCTGGAGGCAGCAGTTTCTTCCGCTTCCCCTCTGCTGGTGAAGTCCAGAACAACGACACATTCGGCGAAGCCGGCAATGATGACAGCCTCTACGATTAAACGGGTTCTTTTTTTTTCCTTTTGTTTTCTTTTGCCCCCCCTCTTATTCTCCGCTCCGGTTGACGACTTGTGCTTTCTGCTTTCTGGGCCGTTTAGTTCTTCGGCCGGGGTTTTGCGCTGAAGATCAATCATATGGGTAGATCGTTTCTGAGGTTGGGGAACTTGCTTTGAGAATGGGGCTTCGGTTCTGTTCTTGTCGATTTGGTTTTTTCCTGTTCTTCCCCTCATACAATGTGCCATAATAGCAATACAACTGGAGAAATCTCTATGTTCATATCGCTTCATACATCAAGTTATAGTGTAGTTGTCCAGTCGTGTCTCTTGAGCATTAACCTCCGAGTCGTTTTGATACTATGCTGTCTTGATATTCATATTAGATGCCTAGGTAGCTCCAGCTCCCATTGCATAGAATTGCAAGTATTATGAAAGTTCCAAGGGTATAAAGATAATCCCCAAGTTAAAGTTCGGGTTCATTAGACTATATATTACTAGTATTTACTTTGCAAAAATTTCAAGCTTTAAGAATATTACAGTTATCCATTATCGTATATGCACGTAAGCTCTAATATGAGGGGGGAATGAAGCGCTTCATAGAAACGGAAAACGACAACGGAAACCAAAAAGCCAACCCGAACGCCTAATTTGCAGAAACATGTTCGCTTCTAATCGAAGACTTTTTTTCACATCGTTCATTCGCATATATCCCCGGTTTAGAACTTGGGAGTAAAGCGACTCATAGCACGGATCTTCGCGCCGTAGAAGAAGAATAGAATGGGGATGGGAATCATGGCAATGGTGATGAAGCCCAAAACACTCGAAGCCCAGTTAACGCCCAGCTTGTGATACATCTGGGTCGCGAAGAGGGGGAATGCACCGCCGAGCGTGGATCGAATCAGGGTGTTCGCGGCGATAGCACTATTGGCGTACATCATATAAACGTCAATGATGTAGTTGAGACCCTGCATGAAAATAACCAGGATACCCATGCCAATTGGAATGCCGGCGATGACTTGGGGGGGCCCAGTGGACGTTTGGAGATGAGGTCCAGCCAAACCAGAAGAGACCGATAGGCAAGAGGACAGAGGCGATCATCATGGGGACAAGGCGTTCTTCTGGGACGACACGACCGTGCTTTTTCAGCTTGCGGGCGAAACGGGTCTTGGTGGTATAGACGATTAGGGTCACACCGCAGAGCACACCGATCATGATGCCGATAAAAGGGAGAGCGGCGACGCCTTCGGATTTCCAGCCGCGTACTTCGGAGAAGGAGACTGGGTAGGCCTCGAAGAAGAGATAGAGGATGCCGTAGACCAGAGCGAGGTAGATGGTGATGCAGATCAGGATGGGCTCCATGGCCAGCATCTGGAAGGGTCGCAGCAGGTACTTGTAGACGATATCGCTCATGCTAGGTTCATGCTCGTCAAGGAAGGAGTGTAGGGCCCAGTTACGGGTTTCGCGGCGCAGACGAGCAGCACGCATCTGGAGAAGCTTCGGGGAGTAGGTCTCGGGGACGATGATCAGGGCGAGGAGGCCGAAGAAGGACGAGGCGATGAGGGTGAGCCATGCGGTCCAGCGCCAGCCCAGGTAGGAATCGGTGACGAAACCGCCACTATAGATTTAGTTAGATATGATTCTGTGCTGATTTGGGGGTGGCCTTTCTTTTTCCAACTTACATGATAGGACCGAGGGTAGGACCCAGGAATGTAGCTGCGCTGAACATGGCAATGGCCACGGCACGATCAACGGGGTCCCAAATATCAGCCATAGCACCGCCCACCACAGCAAGAGGAGAGCAGCCAAAGACACCCTGCAGGAAACGACAGATCATGATGGTCTCGATATTCTGTGCCACGGCAACGGGAATCTGGAAGATTGCGAAGATAGCATAACCGGAGAAGAGAGGTAGACGACGGCCGTATAGTTCGCTGAGTGGAGCCCAGAAGAGAGGACCTAGAGCAAAGCCGAAGACTGTCAAACTGGTACCAAGAATCATGACTTCGGTCGAGACGTTGAATTCCTTCGCGGTGACCAGAGTCGCAGTCGAGAACACACTGCTAGCGAATGTGATCCACATAGTCATGGAGGACATGACAACCGTGATAACCCACTTGCGTATACGCGAAAAGTTCTGAGGGTTCTCAGGATCATCGGGGCCATCCCACTCGACGAGATTAGGATCCTTTTCGGTGGGCTTCTCTGGTTCAGGTTGGTTCTGCGCACTCTCAAGGTCGTTGTCATTGTCGTTATCATGAGATGATGGGAGCGACGGAGTGAGTTCCTTCTCGGTATTGGGGCCGATTGGCTCGGTGTGGTTGTTGCGGCCATCCATGCTTAATCGGGGGGTTGTTGTAGTGGAATCGAACTTGTCGACGGGCTGATTGGCCATTGCTGGGTTTGACGATGCAATGATGTCTGGCGGAGGAGAGGAAAGTGCAATCAGCTCAGTTGTGACTATCACCTTAGATCACTTTAAGTGCCAACTACTACTAGTAGCTACTAGTAAGTGTAACCCGGTGAGTGAGTACTAGAATCCCAAATGGTACTAGAAATGGTTGAAAGACCCTGGAACTGTGGGCATCCAGCAATATTTAAGCGCCATGGGATAGCTTTGTTCGTGGGTCTTCCATCAAGCAATCTAGAAGGAGAAGTTCCGGAGCTAAGCACCATTCGGAGTATAGAGCATGGGCCACCGAAGAAAACCTCGTGGGCAGCCCCATATTATTCGCGGGATTGCTCCACATGGTGGGTTATTTCCGTCAAAAAGCTCGACTGGGTTTAAGTCCGAGACGCGAGAGAGAGAGAGAGAGAGAGCGAGAGAGAAAAACGCGAGACACCGAACTTGAATCAGTGCCGCTCTTCCGGATGTGGCTCCTAGCGCGAGTTGCTTGTCTACGAGTACTACAAAGTAACCAATACTCGTCCAGTGCCAAGGCATATTTTGAGAGCAGTAGTGAGTCAGTTTTGCTGATAAACACGGAGACGGAGGTGGAGGTGAAGGGTGTATGAAACATAAAACAGCACGTTGCGATTGCGTAACTCGACATGAGTGGGGATTGAAGGTGAAAGATATTAAATGATATTGAATGATGATTCGACAGGGGATTCGGACTCGGCCAGTCGGCCTTCGCGTGGGCCCGAACGGCCGGGCGGGTCAGCCAAGTTATCCAGTCTCGGCAGATGCCGCCCTTCACATACGCCGAGTCCGTGAGTTGTCTCCGATTTGGATTACTTGAACTTGCTCTTGAACTTGAATTTCCCGAGATCTAGATCTCCTGGGGATCAGACAGGTTCCATTTGATGTGGATCTACAGACTGTGCATGTGATAAGATATCACTTCGTAAGGCTGGCACACTTCAGTTTAAACCTTGGAATTAGTAGAAATATAATCCGGAGATAATATACCCCGTAGTGCTATATACATATATTCAAGTTCTCGGTGTGTTTATTCAACCACTTCAACTTCACAATAGTACTAGTACCTGGCTATATTACTAGGAGTCTACTCTCGAGGTCTTGGACCTAATCAGGTACATAGAAACCTCAATGACATAAATGACATTGAAGACTAACTTAAGGCTAACTACCCCTCTACCCTGGAGCACATACAAACGGCCCCATCCACAACGTGACCTCAGCTGTCGGAGATAACCATGGAATCAATTTAAGTCCCGAAGTCCTAGTCCCGATTTTGTAAGCTGTTTTCAATCCTGCCAGGGTCTGGTACTGGCTTATTAGATGAATAAATGGCGATTTGATTATGACGTCGAGGGTTTAGTAGTACTGTAGTACTACTACTACTACTAGTAACGCGGGGTACTCAACCTTGGAAGGTATAGATGTCTACGGCCGGGCTATAGTTAAGTACACTAGTAATTGTGCTATCTGTTATTCTGCTCTATACTTCTAACCTTGGTGAAAAATATGCTGTCAACCTTGGAATGAATTCCTAGTGTTTATCAACAATCACAAATTTGAATAAAAAGAGGTACAATCAACTATCCTAATTTCAGGCAGAATATCCAAATATAATCCATGATCTATTATTTGATCTTATCTGCCAATATTTGTTGCTTGAATGTAGAGTGAGTGTATACTGTGATCGTGGTTGTGATTAAGGTCGGCAGGCGGAGGAGGATACAGAAAAGGACTCTGCTAAATTTGTTCAGATCAGTACAAGTAAGTATCTGAGTATTATAAAAGGTGATTATCACTCAGAAAACTTGCAATTGGAGGTAGTTGCTGCCATATCAGTCTCAAACTCGTAGTAGAAGTATGAATTGGGACGCGATCCCGTGCGACGCGTCTCGGCGGGCGGTCTACCCATTTCCGCGCACGATGTGTTCCTCGAAACCCTTTCTGCACCCATTCTCCCACCACTCCATCTCTTATGCGAGCCCCTCTTCATCATGCCTTCGCGCACTCGCAAAGCTCCCGCTGAGGAGCCGGAGGAGGACTCAGGCCTTCGAGGTCTGGCCTTCAACCAGCCGCTCTCATGGCGCGTGGGGCGTGCCGCCATCCCCATTGCCGATCTACTCGACCGTCTCCAGACCCTGGCCCAAGAGCTCCGCAAGCTCGAACAAGAGGAAATTGATAAGGAATCTTTGCGCAAGGTCTCTCAGGAGCTTTCCAGCGCCAACTTACTAGCCCATAAGGACAAAGGAGTCCGTGCTTGGGCTACTTGCTGTATCGTTGATGTCTTGCGACTGTGCGCGCCGGACGCGCCCTTTACCAGAAACCAGCTTAAGGTGCGATCTTCTTTGATCGCGACACGATATCACGTCGCTCTCAATTGAGAGTATTGTACTGACAACCTAACCCCAAAACAGGATATCTTCACATGCATCGTCACCTCAGTCATCCCCGCACTGGCCGATCCATCCAACGCCTACAATGCACAGCAAACTTACGTCTTAGGCTCACTCGCTGAGGTCAAGAGTGTCGTTCTTATGACAGACCTTGATCACCCCGACTCGCTCATCGTTCCTTTGTTCTCTAGCTGTTTCGACATCGTCTCGGGATCCTCAAAAACATCCACTGGGGAGGAAGTTGCGAAGGGCGTGGAATTCGACATGACGCGGTTGCTGGTGACGGTCATTGATGAAACACCCGTCTTGGCTGCTGAAGTAGTCGACACGATTGTCGCACAGTTCCTGCGGGTTGACCCCCGAGTGCTGGATAATCCCAAGAAGGGCAAACGCGCCGACGCGCCAATTGATACTAAACAAGATACCCTCCTGTTAAAAGACTACCCGCCTGCCTACAACATGGCCAAGGCGATCTGCCAGGCTTGCCCCGAGCGCATGACTAGTCACATCAGTCAATATTTCAACAATGTCATCATTGACGCATCCGCCCCTGGACAATCGCACGGTTCGAAGGGTGGCTCCCACAAGCCGAATCTCGACGACTCAGACGAGGAGGGCGAAGATATCAAAGAGTTGAGCAAAGCTCATCGTCTTATCAGGGAGCTTTGGCGGGCCTGTCCTGAGGTCTTGCAGAATGTGATCCCGCAGGTCGAAGCTGAACTGTCTGCCGAGTCGGTGGCGCTCCGCTTGCTAGCAACGCAGACTATTGGAGATCTTGCGGCAGGAATTGGTGTTGCCGGTCCCCCTCCATCTCCTCCAATGGACCCAGCGGCGTACCCGCCAGTGACCCTGGAGGGATATGCGCAGACGGTCACACAACCTAACATTCTTTTGACACCAATTTCTCCGAAACCCTTTTCCCAAGTACACAACTCGGCCTATGAGGCATTCCTGAGTCGCCGGCAAGACAAGACGCCTTCAGTGCGTGCTGCTTGGGTCACGGTTATCGGGCGCATCCTCTTGACATCGGCGGGTGGTTCCGGCTTGAGTCAAAGCGAAGAGCAGGGCCTCGTCAACTGCCTTGTCACATTGCTGCAGGACGCTGATGAGAAGGTTCGTGTTGCTGCAGTTGATACGATTGGACAATTTGGCTTCAACCACGTTGTTCATAAACTCGGCGTCAAGGGCGGTTGCTCCACTCCGGATTCAGTATTTGCTGTTCTCGCAGACCGAGTCAAGGACCGTAAACCGCAAGTCCGTGAGCATGCGATGAAGATTCTTGCCCGGATATGGGCAGTGGCTGCTGGAGATATTGAACAAAACGCCGAACCCGTTGTGTCCCTTTTGAAAGATATTCCATCCAAAATCTTTGATTCTTTCTACACTAACGACCCAGAGATTCACATCCTTATCGACCGAGTGCTTTTCGAGACCCTGCTTCCGCTTAACTATCCCCCCCTCAAGTCGAAGCTCTCGCGTGGAGGCTCCAACCTGTCTCAAAAAGGAAAGGAAGAAGAAAGCCAAGGTGTGGGTGCTGATCAGGAAACCGATGTCGACAAAATCCGCGTTCGCCGGATTCTGGCCTTGCTTCGTGGCCTTGATGAGAAGGCCAGGCGCGTGTTCTTCGTCATGCTTCCTCGTCAACTGGCCATGAGATCGGCCATGACACTTTACCTCGAGGCATGTGAGAAATATAACGGCGGGGTAACCGACAAGGATGCAGATTCAGCCAAAGCGCAATTGTCGAGGGTTATCGACTCATTATCGAAAACCTTCCCTGATTCCTCGCGCGCCTCGGCGGACCTGTGGAAGTTTGCCAAGGTCCATGACCGGCGCAGCTACCATCTCGTTCGGTATTCCATGGACGCTACCAGCGATTATCGTACGGTGATCAAGGCGATGAAAGAACTTCAGAGAAGAGCCCAAAGTGCAAACAATTCCCCTTTGCTGGAGACTCTCACCACTCTTCTCTACCGATCTGGATCGTTGATCTTCAACCGCAGTCACATCCCAGCGATCATGAGTCTTTCCCGTACCGATGAAAATGGACTGGCCAGTGCTGCCCAGGAAATGTTGAAGCAGATATCTTCTCAGAACCCCGAGGTTCTGGAAGCTCAAGTTCAGGAGATGTGTAAAGACCTCGAGGCACAAGCCCCGAAGGCCAATTCTGCTGGCGATACTAGCGCCGAAGAGATTCTCAAAGCCTGTGCTGGTTTCGCGAAAAAGCTCCCGGCCAAACTGCCCAAGGAGCGCAAGTTCTTCCAGGCCCTCACAAACTACGCTCTTTACAGCACCTCACCGCGTTCCGCTAAGCATGCCGTTTCAATCCTCATGGCCACTGCTGACAAGAAAGAGATGTACGCCAAAGAACTTGTTCAAAAATGTGTCAAGAAATGGGCGTATGGATCGGATCACTCCCTTACCCGCCTTGGCGCATTGTCGCAGCTAAACCTTCTTGTCCCCCGCGAAGCAGATGAGGAAAGCGATGCCATCATCTCAATCGCTGTGAACCAGATTCTCCTCACGAACCGTTCTCCCGACACAAACGCTGGATACACATGGTCCGAGGCAGTTGACGAAGAGACTCAAAGCAAAGAATGGGCACTGAAAATCATTGTCAATCGCCTGCGAGCCAAGGATGGTTCTGATGACGAAGCGGACTTCCGGGAACATGCCAAGCCAGTGTATGAAACTTTGAATAAGCTTATCGCAGGCGAGGGCGAATTATCCAAGAAGAAAGATACCCCTTCATCTCAGAAATCGCGATTGCGTCTTCTTGCTGCCAGGTCTATTATCAAGCTATGTGCCTCAAACAGTCTTTGCGATCAACTCTTGGCCCCGGTGGACTTCAATTCGATTGCTTTGATAGCTCAAGACCCACTTCTTCAAGTCCGAAAAGGCTTCATTGATCACTTGAAGAAAAAGCTGGTTCAAAGATCCTATTTGTCTCATCGCTGGTATATCATCCCATGTTTGCTGGCATTTGAACCCAACACTCTCTTGAAGGAAAGCACACTCACATGGCTACGATCACGCGCCGCGCACTTCTCCCAACAGGCCCAGGCAAGCGGAAAACGGACCGAGCAGACCATGGTCATGGAATTAATGTTTTCCCGTCTCTTGTCCCTCCTTGCCTATCATCCAGACTATCCGTCTGATGATCTCGATGAGTCGACTAGGCTTGGTGACCTGAGCGACTTTGCACGATACATCGTTTTTTACCTCCTCGCTGTCGCCAATGAGCATAACCTTTCATTGATCTTCCACGTTGCGCAGCGTGTCAAGCAATTCCGTGACGGTATCACCAAAACCGACGAGATCTCAACCCGCTTGCACACCTTGTCAGATCTCGCCCAAGCAACCATTCGACGATTTGCCGACATTTACTCACAACAACATAAGTTCGGCGGCGCTAGTGGCGGGGCGACCAACCTCTTACAGACATACCCCGGCAAGATGGGCGTCCCTAGCTCTCTTTTCTCTTCCATGAACAGTCACCGAGAGGCTCAAGATGTCGCCGACAAGAACTTCCTACCTGATGAGCTAGACGACATGCTGGACCGTGTTGTACGAAGTGCCATGAAACCGAAGAACTCCTCTCACAGGGACCAGGCCGGTTCTGCGAAGAAGCGGAAGCCTGAGTCTCTTGACGCCAATGGAAACCCTGCGAAGAAGGCACGCAAGGCAAAGCCGGGTCGGCCACGCAAGTCTGGATCCAATGTGGGCTTGCCAAGCAAGAGCCCTCGCCGCAAGACTAAGGGTGACGATGGATGGTCGTCTGATGGAGGTGGCGCTGCGGAGCTTAGCAAATCTGCCCGGCGCCGAAGCAGCCGAGGCACTACGGGTGTCAGCTATGCAGACAAGGACACTGACGAAGATGAAATGGAGATGGAAAAATGGGAAGGAGCCAAGGAGGCTGAAAAAGATACCGAGGACGAGAGCGAAGGCGAGGAGATGGAAGAAGACCAGGAGGAAGTCGACGACTCCTCCGCTACCGAGGAACCTGCACAAACGAGCGAGAAGGAAAATTCACCACCAGCCCGCGCCAAGCGAGGTGCCAAAGCGTCCGAGGCCAAAGCCAATCAGGCCAAGAAGCCGGTAACAACCACTCTGCCGACACGTCGTTCATCTCGACGGGGCTGAGCGAATCTACGCTTGAGCACGACTACTCCGAGAAGAATACCCCTGGCTTTATTGTTTCGACTGTTGCTGTTGTTCCATGGCATCGTTTCATTTCACTCATGTGGCAAGGAGAGTGTCCATGTATTTCTTCATGTTTCTCATTCATTATCCCGTTCTTCGCCTATCTGCTGTTGATGACATTTCGAGATGTATACCCACTTGCTTTTGATGTCCCCATCAGCCTGTTCAGCATCTCGTTCCATGATGCCTGTTTTGCCTATTTATTCCACGTCAAATATCATCTTTTATGTAACTAGCTCGCCTTCACAGCAGGCCCCATCTGGCTATCCAATTGAACTTCACGAAACCCTTACGCTTGAAGTTCCACCTCTAGTTTGTAAAAATTAGTTCGAGAAATGGGCAGCAACTAGCTTTAGGTGACACGTCAATCATACAACATGAGCTGAAAAATATTTCCGATGAATGTTGTGACAGTCTTGATCAAATGCCGAGTGCATAAATAAATGGCTAGATGAAGCCACAAACTATTTACTGCTTATTTCCGGTCTTACGATGCAATTGCGGGGTGAAACAGAGCCTGAGATCGGTGTATCAAATCCGATGTGGATTAAGTCTGGTGCGGGGAAAGATACCAGACTTGGTAACCGACGGCGATTGATAGCCAGCATCTTACTCGCTGCTGAGTCAAGTCACACAGCGCCATATTTCCGAAGAGTTCAATAAATGTGCTCGCGGGCAGCCCTTTTGCAAAGTTTCTCATCTCGCACTGACCAGTTGTTTGGTCCTACTACCGTCTCTTACGCACTATGTCACAACTTCCGTCGATCCGTTGGGGTATCTTGAGTATGTGTTCCTATACCAAAAAAAATGTAGCGAACCAGCCAATTGACTCGTAAAAGCCACGGGAAAAATCGCTTCCTGGTATGTGTACGATCTGGTCCTCTCTCGCCCAGATGCGAAAGTTCGCCATATAGTGCAAGCCATCGGAACGTCAGATGTGAAAAGGGGGAAATCTTTCGCCCAAAAGTACTGCCCAGAAGAGAACCCCAGCATATATGGTAGCTACGAGGAAGTCTACCAGGATCCGAATGTCGACATCGTCTATATCGGAACGCCACACGCTTTCCACAAGAAGAATTGCCTGGATGCCATCGCAGCAGGAAAAAAATGTACTCTGCGAGAAGCCTTTCACTCTCAATGCCCATGAGGCAAAGGAAGTTTTCGAAGCAGCCAAGCAGAAGGGAGTCTTCATCGCCGAAGCAATGTGGCTCCGCCATCGACCGCTAGTCCTCGAGCTCCAGCGTCTCCTTCATCAAGAGAAGGCAATTGGCGAGGTTTTCCGAGCAACATCCGACTTTGGATCCGAGCTCGACATTCCAAATTTGCCCTTGGACAAGTATTATCGCCAGAACGCGCTGGGAGCGGGCTCTTTACTCGATATGGGCATCTACTCATTGACATGGGTGATGCTAGGTCTTGACGACCCCGGGCTTGTAGCGAATCGGGAGAAGCCGAAGATTCTCGCCTCACAGGATCACTGGGAAGACATCGAGACAGCCACCAGTGCCATTCTGCAATACCCTGGAAGACAAGGAATTTTCACTTCCACAACCAAGGCGAGCGGAAACCCTGACCTGCTCGCTCGCATTTATGGTACTACTGGGTCTATTGAGGTCCATGGTGGCTGCCCCTCACTGCCAGAAGGTTTCACTGTCTATCCGCCATTTGAAGGAGAGCCTGGTGGGAAAGAGGCGGATAGTAAGATCACTCGGGGCCGAGAAAGGTTGTATGACTTCAAAGCTCCGGGGCGCGGCTTTCAGTACCAGGCTGATAATATCGCTTTGGATGTGCTGAATGGAAAATTGGAGAGCTCTATAATCCCCCAAGCTGAGACCATTCGAGTGATGGAGATCATGGACGAAATTCGGCGACAGGGAGGTACACGATACCCAGTGGATTAGATTTTTGAACATTTATAGTCGAAACCCAATAATATGACCTAGTACTACACCTTATGCGAGATATCTATGGTTATTTGAATAATGGAATTCATTTATTCCAGACCTTTTGAGGTGCATCAATTTCGACCCTATCTGGGAAGGTTGCTAATAGGCTTAAGAAATAGGCATAAGAGACCGGTTAAGTGTCCGCAATTGGGGTTTTATTTTTGCAGAAAACCCTGAGCACTTTGCAAGCCACATTTCCATTATTTTGCAGATACTCCTGTATGGCATCGCCACATCTCATAACCATTCGGCAACTAATAAAACTTTTAGAATCCTGGGGCAAGGGACTCATGGCGTTGGCAGTTTGCGCCGCGTCATATGCGACTCGATGAATTAGCACCACTAGGCTCGGGATGAACGACTCATCAGGTAAATAGTCTGCCGCAAAGTGTTGGACAAATTGGTCATGTTCCTTCGCTTTTATCATTCTGAGCAATTCTAAGCAGCGGTTATACATGGCAAACTTTAAAAAAGATTGAAGGCTCTTCTTCAAACAAACTTGAATTGCATTTCAAGAGGTCCAGAAGTTGTGTGGTGCCAATTTTTTGCGCTTGATTTGGCTCGTGTTGGAGAATTTGAAGAAGCAGAAGCAGAAGCAGTATTAGGGTGCTCAGATACGACAAAGATCAAGCTACGTGAATACCAGGCCATATATAGTACTAGCGGTTCGATGAAAGTAGTAAGCTTGAAGAGAGAAGGGAGAAGAGGAAGAGGAATCAGGAGCTAGATGCAGATAGATGCCGGCGTAGATGTCATCAGATCAAGGTAATTAGGTAACAAGGTAACAACCAGGGTTCATTGCAAGTAGAGGAGGAAGCAGAAGATGAAACAGAAGGACGACAATGAGATCAAGATAGATTCCTAGAAGTAGGCATCAAACATGTGATTCATTACACAATTGGCGTCTTATTTTTGCAAAAAGCCTTGAGTTCTTTGCAAGCCACATCGCCATTCTTTTGCAGATATTCCCGCATGATATTGCCACAGCTCATCATAATTCGGCTCCCAAAAAGCAATTCAGGAAATCGGGATGAGAGCTTCAGGCCGTTTGAACATTCGTCTTGGTTACTTACGATAATGTGAATCAGTAGCACTATGTATGGGAGCATCAATTGATTAGGCATATAGTCCGATGCAAAGTGGTAGACAAATGTGTCGTGTTCCTTCGCCTGGATCTGTCTCAGCAATTCCAGTGAGCGACTGTGCATGCCAAAGTAGTTGAAAAGGATCATCGGCTCCTCTTCAATCAATTTGCTCTTTATGAGGGTCAGCAGTTGTATGGTGTCAATGCTGTCCCTTTGGGCCTTGGAATTCCGAAGCGCCTTGTTGCCACCTTTGGCACCGGACTCCTTGGAAAGCTTATCCAAGATCATGTAAATGTTTTTAATCCCAGAATCTCCATCAATCCAGGGAATGTAAAGACCGCGGAACAAAGTAGAAATGGGGGTTATCGGTTCAAGAGGTTTAGGATTCTTTCCCTTGGGTCGACGGGAGTCTTGTTCTTTGCGGCGATTGCGGGCAAACTGCGTAGCTGATGACATCCCCGAGGCAATTTGCAGTCTCTTCAGAGAGTCTTTTCTATCTTTTGGTCGGGAGCCAATAAAAATATGTGATTCACCGTGTATCTTAATGAAAGCCTCCATGTCGGGCCAGCTCAAGTCCTTGTGAAACGGCCCTTGTTTGACAAGGTTGTAAAGGAAAGCCATAGGTTGAACATCGTACCAGCTTGAGACAAGTGACTTACCAAGAGCTTGCATCCGAATATTGAGGTGGAACATAGTCAATCCGCAAAGAATTGCATGCTGGGAAAAGAGCACTCGCTCCTTGGGCATACCTTCGCCAGGGAGCATTTCCCTACTGCATTTGAGAAGATAAATTGGGTCTGGAGTAATCCAGTAGTCGATGCTCAGTTGTAATCTCCTGATCTTTTCATCCATTTCCTTTGGCCAGAACTTGGGCTGGGGGTGTGAGTTTGAGAGCTTCCAGTATTCATTGATATACTTTGACATGCGCAATCCGGAAATTCGAAGATCCTCAAAGGCTCCTGGTGTGGCTTGGCGCATAGTATGATGGACGTCAAGTAGGATCTGAGTAGCAAAGCAAAGCCATGGCGTAACCTTTTTGGTCTTGCAAAACTCTGTCAATCCTTCGGATATCGCATCCATTGCGAGAATCCGAATGTTGGACCTACTTAGTAGGCAGAATTCAGGCAGTAGTTGGCAAAGGATGATCTGGTCTTCACTGCGCTTCTGGTCCACATACCTTTTATCCTCGGTTGCTTTGGGGTTAGTGCTGAGACAACCTTTCGTGAAGACCGGCAAGTGGTTCAGTGGAAGAATTTCCGCAAGTGAATCTAGGAGAGCCAAGGTCGGTAGATAGCACCAGTTGGCTACATCGGCCATCTTCTCGTTGTATAATGGACCGATTTCAAAGGCCGGATCCGTGGAGCTTCCCTGTGCAATAGCAACAGTCTTAAAGACAAGCCATTGCAGCTTATCATTCGTGGTCTCACAGGTGTCCCATTCGTGTACCAGCTCCTTCAACATATCTTGTGCAAGCTGTAGAGTACTGTTGGTTACAACGGCAGCATTCATGAGATCGATCTTCTTCTCGCAGTATTCCAGCCAAGTATCAGATATAAATGTCCGCATGTCGTGAAGATCATGAAATAAGCAAAATGCTTTGAAGAGGATGTGGTCCAAGTGTGCTTCGGCTGCCTCACCTTCATCGCTTTCGTCGAGCTCCACCTTGACGAGCTTCAGTGTTGCGGAAGAAACAAACTGTCCCTGCCCCTGGGAATCTTGTGGTTCCTCAACAGTGAGTACAGAGAATTTGTTCATGAAAGTCTCAAGGTCGGCATCGCAGGCTTCGACCTCCGGGGGCGAATGTGATTGCTGAGCATCTCGGTTGGAAGGCTTTGCTGTCTTCCGCTCCAAGGTCTCGCAGGTCGCTTCCAGCGCAGAGATGAATTTGACGTGACGCTTGTTATTCTCCGACTCACCCTGCTCCAAGAACCAGCTTGTGACCTGTTTTCTTAATTTGATGGCTCGTTTGACAATGGAAATAACCTGCTTCGGCACAGGGAGGGTCGACTCGGCGACAGCTTCAGCGAGTACTTGAAGATCCCTGACGGTGGTGATATACTGAATGGACCCATGGGCTTCACTCGGTCTGTTCTTCTTGTGCTTTCTTTTGTTATTTTTCTTGTTCTCGGTCTCATTCAACGAAAGGGCGATGGCGGCAAGGTTACTGGGTTGGTGGCCGCATTTGCTGGCGGCCTCAAATAGCCAGGTTGCAAAACTGTTTGTGTCGTTCTTGTAGCGAATATAACTGCTTTGTAAAGATTTTGGTAGCATATGAATAGTAGATAAGAAGGAGCTATGGCGCCAACAATGGAAAGTATGTGGCGGTGGAGAGAAAAGAGAGAAAAGAGAGGAGAAAGAAAGAGAGAGAGAGAGAGAGAGAGAGAGACAATACAACCAAAACAGGAAGCCCTGGTGCCTGAGGCACTCACATCTCAACAGTAACTACCCAAGCAAATGTTTTGGTTCGGCTTCATCACAGATTCATGATACTATATACCTAGGTATGACCGTATGCGAGTGGTATCTCTTGTTCAATAAAGTCAATCTCATCTCCAGGGCTTGCTGGATCATCTGCTGGGCTTATTCTGCATCAGGTATTCTACTAAACTTGAATGTGCTAATTTTCTAAGAGTCGAGCTGACTATGAGAGTTGGAAACAGGAAACTACTAGGTGGAAGTCACCTGATATCTTGAGGCAGGTACGATACACAGAATGAATGTAGAGAGCAACGTCATCGGTTCAACTTTATATCTGAAAGCCACAGGGAAAGACGGGGAATACTAGTACAAAGAGAGAAGGAGCATAAGTAGAAAGAGAGGTACCAAGGGTCTGTGAATAGTCCAATTTTGCCTTCACTTACTCTATTTCAAGTTTTAACCCCGGATTCCAGAAGCTTGTTATTAATGGTGGTTCTCGAACCATGGGGATAGAACAGCCATGGATGGCACGTAACCAACCGATTTTGGCAACCGAGTTCCGAGCCGAAACCCGACACAAAGGAAACCGGTGCACTGGTGGCCTCCGATAGCATGTAACCTTGGTCTCATAATCATGGTACGAGTCCGGAGTATGCAGTAGCATAGGGGTAGTCGACTTTCGCTCAGGCCTTTTACTCCACCTTCCAGCCGTCTCTCACCAGTCTCCCGTCGATGGCCCGAGATATCCGGGCCAAGCCGACAGCAAGTATCGTATCGCAACCACGCGATTGGAGGAATTGCCCTGGAAGAGAACGTGGAGCTCACGAAATGAAGAAGCCTTCCAATTTAATTCCACAATACTAGCACCAGCCTAATAGCTTATCACTGGCCTGAGAACGTCGCCTCCCGTTGCCCGATTCAACACCACACCGAACACGATACCATGGTCGTGTCGATCCTATCCAACCCAAGCATTAGTGGAGAACGCCCCCAATTGCTTGTTGCTTGTGCTTGTACCCCAGCCATGTCAAGTGCACGGGCCTTAGCTTCAGCCCAGTGATGCTTAGCATTCCCTAGTATTTGTACCACTTTCCCCCCATTTTTTCCGGGGATAATTTCTGGTGATAATTCCCCCTCTCTGAAAAAACTAGTAATATACGCTTTGAACAAAATCCCAGCATGGAGAAACAAGAAATCGACGAGAATATTCGCCCTCCATCCTATTCAAACGAAATCCCCCCTTCTAGCAGCTTGATAAAGCCCCAAGCTCGTGAGCCTTATGATGCTAGCGTCAGCTTCGAGGAATACACCTACTATGCGGAAAAGACCAGGGCTGAACAGGAGCTGCTCGAGCCGCCCGTTTTGAATGTTCGACAGTTTTTTAGAAAGTCGAGTGACAGCGATGCGCTGAACCAGAATGTTACGACCCATTTGACTGAAGAGGATTTCACTGATCGCGCGAAGAGGCTTGAGATCTCTGATGAAGAATGGTCGAATGCTAGTCGGGCATTTAGGTCTGCCTCGTGGGGCGCTTGTGAGTTTTTATGTGTGTTGCGACGAGAAAGGATCTGTGGCTAATTTATTCGGCTAGGTTTCTACTTGATCACAACCGATATTCTTGGACCGTATGGATCTGGTTTTGCGATGGGAACTTTGGGCTGGGGACCTGGTAGGAAACCATAATCCAAAAATCCATGTCTCATTGGCCATTACTAATAAATCGCCAGGTGTCGCTTTCTACACAGTATTCGGACTGATGGTAGGGTATTCCGGATACCTCATCTGGCGCGTCTACATGGGTGTTGACAGCTTCGAATTCCCGGTGAAAAACTACGGCGATCTCGGATTTCGGACACTGGGTCATGGAGGCCGTCATGTTACGAATGTGATGCAGGGTATTGGATTGCTGCTTATAACTGGACAAGTGACGATCCAATATGGTGAGAATATCTCGCAAGTCTCGAAGTTCAAACTATGCTACGCCGTATGCCCAGTCCTGTTCGCCATTGCCGGATTCTTCATTACCCAGATCCGAACATTGAAGGCCTATGGATGGATAGCAAATTTGGCCGTTTGGTTGAATATCTTCGTTATTTTCATGACAATGGGTGTGATGGCGAACACGCCGCCAAATTTCCAGATCTCTACTCTGGGCTCTGCTGGCAGTGCTACTGACCCAACAACCATTACGCCCGTGGATGGTGTCTACCCGCCCATCATCCATTACAACAATATCCCCCCAGGAAATGGTCTGGTTGGATCCGTGAACGGCATGCTTTCTGGGGTGTTGGCCTACGCCGGTGCTCAACTCTTTGTCGAATTCATGGCCGAAATGCGACGCCCTCAAGATTTCATCAAGGCGATGTGGAGTGCCCAGTTCTTCATTTACAGTGTCTACCTCACGTATGGATGCGTGGTTTATCACCTGCAAGGACAATACAGTTTCAATCCTAGCTACCAGGGCGTCAGTATGTACGCCTGGCAAACCCTGGGCAATATGGTCACTTTGATCGCCGCTTTGATCGCCGGCGGTCTTTACGGGAATATCGGCATCAAGGTGGTTTACAATAACATCCTTGTCGATATTTTCAAAGTCCCGCCGATGGATACTCGACGAGGCAAAATCATATATGCGCTCTTGGTTCCCTTGTGGTGGATTATCGCTTTCATTATCGGTGCCGCTATCCCCGACTACTTCGGTTTTGTCAGTGTGATGGCCGCTTCGATGCTTCTCAATCTAAGCTATACTTTGCCCCCGCTCTTTGCACTGGGCTTTGACATACAGAAGAATTCGATTCGAGCAGAGGAAGGAGAAGGGTTCAACCCAGTTACCGGGCAGGTTATTAAAAATGGCTCAGCTACCCAGCGCTGGGCTCGTGGGTTCGTGTCTGGTGGCTGGTTCCAAATCGCGATCAATATTTGGCATATTATTTACTTTTTGGCTTCCTTATCCATGTGTGGACTTGGAATGTGGGCGGCAGTCGTTGGTAAGTTGATTGTGGAGCTCACCATTTACTGTTCCATCGCTAATCCGAATCGCAGGGATGATCGAGGCATTCAAAAATCCACAGTTAAACTCGTTTTCTTGCACCTCGCCTCTCAATCTGAACGCATGATTCAGTTTGTCAGGCAACGGGTTTTTGAATCGACTCAGGGAACACTGGTCGATGCTTTTAAGCGGCCCATCAATTAAACTGTACTCACTCACTTTCGTCTGCGGATAGGCTTTTGTAAATCAGCAATTGAAAAATTGATATGGCATCATAATCTTCCAAAAACTTAGAGGGCAACAAGACAATCCAATTGAGAGCCTGGTATTTACTGGTCTAACTTGAAATATTACTTGACATATCACACAGGAGCCGACAAACAGAATTAGAAGAAACTATCAAAAAAAAGCATTTGGATGCAAGGGCATCGAACGCCACTCCTGATACAAGAAACACAATTCAATTCGCTCTACCGCCGCAGGTTCAAGTCCTATACAATTCCAACAAACATCAAAAAGGCTTACATGTGTGCTTGAGACTAGGAGAGTTTGGGTTCAAAAGATGTAACATGGAGGAAAGTACATGGGATAAAAAGAAGATGTGTGAGTCGGGGAAGATCGAACACACGCTCTGGACGCCGTTGTCATGACTTCATCAAGGAATCTTATGACTAAGGCTGAGACCCAGGAGCTGGAGATGGAACTGCACCTAGGGCAGGGCTTGCACTGGCCGAGGTTACGCCGCCGGGAGCCGGGCTTGCGCTAGCGCTGTGAGCACTGTCAGTTCTGATAGGCACGCCGCCGCCAGATCGTACACGCTCCTCCACACGCTCTTTGTGTTGTCGATTGCGAAGGTGGACTTCGAAGTTGTCGACGGTCGTCATGGGCCCGGGGGTATACAACTTTCCAGGACAATCTAAGCAGCGAATTCGGGGAAGATACTGATATTTGACTTTTTGGCCGGCTGGGAGGTTGTTCGGGTTGGCGACGGGGGCGAGAGTTTCCATGTCCACCGCGGAGTAGCGCATCACTCCTTCAAACGAGTCATTGGGGTGAGCTTGTTTGAGCTTTTGTAGGCCTTCTTGTAGCCAACCGGGTGGTGGGGGCTGAACATGTCCGGGGTCAGCCTGGAACCAATAATTTAGAAAGCTAATATCTACTCACAGCGGGGACCCCAGGCTGGGGCGGATTCGGGGCATCGACAGCTCCACTTTGTGGTTGACGTTGTTGTGGTGGTGGTGCGTTCTGATTGTGGAGTCGTTGCTTGTCTGATGGAGGTGCCATCGTTCCGGAGGGCATTTGGGGGGTGTTGACAATGCTCTTGCCGTTTCGCAGGTCGATAAGCTTGTTGCGGGGAATCTTCAGTCGCACAATCAACTTTTCGGGCTCTTCCACACTCTCTTCGCGGTACTGCTGTCGTCGAGAAGACACTCGGGTCGGCTCCTGCAAAACAGGTTCTGGTGTTGCAGATTGCCCTAGGCTGGCACGAAGGGCTGCATGGGCTGCTGTTGCGGCACCTCTCATACCTCGTGTGCGAGCGGTTCCTTGGGCGAGGTTGGGACCGATTGCTGGAGACCCGACAGATGAGTCGTCACTATCGAAGTCATCTGATTCATCCTCTCCGCGCTGACTGGCTATTCCACGACGACGGCTAGAAACAGAGCGTTTGATAACGTTGCTTTCTTCGAAGGTCTGTGCCGAGTTGGGGATGACCGACGAGACGATCAGCGTACGAATTGTTCGTTGGCGATCCTTCAGATCAGGAAGAGCAGGGCCGCCACGGCGGTTGATGGATCGCTTTTGTCGGCGTTGTTCTCGGGATATAGAGATCTCGGTACGTTCGAGATCGGTCTCGTTCAATTCGTAGAGATAGGGGGTGTGCTCCTTGGCAGCTTGGAAGGGTCGGAAGGCGGATGAAACAGGAGTTGGGAGGAAAGAGGTGCTGAGATCGGGATCTTCGATGGGGCGACCATCGAACGGGTGGGCGACAATGTAGAGAGACTTGGTGAACAGTTGAGATTGCTCGCGAATAGAGTGGGCGATGGCGGTTGTGAATTCTCCTGACAGAGAAAGGTCATCCGTCATGCGCATGGCAAATTCTTCCGGTGAGTTTTGGGGATCATTAATATCCCACTCAAACTGGTCGATTAGAGTATGTTGCCCGATAGTGATGTTCAGCTTAATTAATATCCGCATCTCATCGTTCCGGTACGCTGAATACGGGAGACTGGGGTCGAGCGGTTCATCGTGCATGAACATTTGTGGATAGTAATCCATCAGCTGCTCCTGAATGGTCTGCGAAATCATACGCATAAGAGGAGTAGAGCTCTCCAGTGTAAGTCCCAGATCCTCCACCAACTTTTCAGCAAAAAGGTCGGGTGAAACGACGCGGTCGTGAAGATTCCACGTGAAAGTATCTCTAATCTTAATCTTCTCCCAGTCGATATCGAGTCGAATGGGGACAAGGTCCTCTGTCTGTTCATTTTGAATCTTCATATCCCGCCGCGAGACCCGCAGTTCTCGGGTCTTTTGGTTTCCTGGGCGCCGTCGGCTAGATGGATAGAGTAGTTGTGGATGTTGATTCCGCAAATCGGTGCGTTGGTTGCCAAATCCTTCGTAGCCTAGCCCATATAACGCGGCCGGGTTTCCCTGATTCTCACGGCGTATTTGCAGATAAAAATCCCGCTCTTCTCGCTTCTGTTGTTGCAATTCTTGACTCGGGTTTTTCCACGCAGTAGCGGCCGAATACTCAAACTCGCGATTGACATACTGCTCCAACAAGATCTTCTCCACGGGCGTCTCGCGTGTTCGGACGGCCAAGGTCCCTGAAGTGTCGGTTGATTGAATCACGGAGCCATCGCGCGACCGTTTCCTACTTTGCGCGGAACCATTTGTTCCATTGGATTGTGGGGTGCCATTCATATCATTATTGGCGTCTGCAGGTGCACCGGCCTTGGATTTCGCGCTCTGCTTTCCCTCGCCAATGATGTCTGGCGTTTGACCATTAGCCGGCTGGCCGGCCACGGTGTCGAAGGAGTCCAAGCCTCGGGCCCCCCGTATCGGACGCGCCAGAGCCATTCTGAGCGCCAGCCAGAGAGTCGGAGGGGGACTTCTCCTGTGGCGGAGAGCCATTCTGGAGATCGGGGGAGGGCATGATCGATAAAAAGTTGTGGAAGAAGTAATCCGGGGTCGGTTGGACGGATGATTGATGTGAGTCGCACTCGACGCGATTAAGGTAGCAACGGGGCACTTATGATAGCATCGTTGAGCGAGCCTGTATTAAAGTTTGTTTCAGTTAGCCAATAGCTCATGTCGAAAGCGATTGGTACTGGGTGGTATTGATATCGCGATCGCGATCGCGCGATCAAAGGTGTCGGGGTGCGGAGTCGATCCACGACCGTGTCGCACCCCACACAATGTCGCGGACATGCCACAACATAAGAGTGTTCAGGCCAAGGAAATCCACGGGCATCGTGAGGGAAGCTTCTTGGACGAGGCGATTAGGATGAAAGTCTGGGGGCAAAGTAACATACCGGAGCCGAAGGGGGGTGGAGGCCAATTGCGCTCTAAGGGACCCAGGGCTGGATGCTATGGGTCTCGCGCGAGAGTATCAAGTGATTCACGGGTTTCTCTTCAAAGGGAAGAGATCGAATGAACGCTTCGTCCTAGCTGTCTGGAGCTGGAGCTTTGGTGGCGGGTGGTGAAGGCGCGCCGCCGGTGGATGCGTGGGAGAAGTTCAAAGGAGAGAATGGATTACGAGATGTCCGCTCCCGGTCAGAAACAAGACTGTACAGAGCATCAACGCGCTCTCCACGCACACACAACTACCAGTGGTTATGAGATAGATAGACTGGATCTACAGGGGAAGACTAATTGTAGCTCTGGATTTTCTTCACCGTTCCTGCTGGCCACTGCGCCGGCTACAGGACCGGTCGAATCGGTATGCTGGTATCATGTGACACATGGGAAGGCTGGAGTTGCCGCCTTCGATTTCAGGTGTCAAATTGCCCTTTTGGGTGAGTCAAGTACAAGTAGACTTTGTAGATTGTAGGACTGCTCAGGTAGTATCGTATAGTTTCTAAGATTTATCTCCAAGTTAGAACTTGAATTTGTTGACTCTGAAATCATCCCAATAGCATCACATCAGCAACTACAGCACGATGATCTGAATTGAACACCCCGTCATCGAACCGGTTGGCCAGTACAGAATACCCATCCACTCGCCATTCCTGATTTCCACCAGAGGCTAGAAGGACATAGTCGATTCGCTTTGCTGGTTCTGACTCATACCCAAACCCAGTGAAGGTATTGGTATTGCCATACTGGTGCGAAGGTTCAACCATTTTGAAGGTATCGAGGAGGTCTCCTGACCCCGTCAAATCTTGATACGCTTCTTGATCCTCCTCGCTATTTAGATCCCCAGACAAGAAACCACCGGAGATCAATCCCCCATATTCTCCAGTTCGATACTCATGGATCTTTGAACGAATGATACGTGCTGCTTCAAGCCGGGAGCGAGAACCCTGGTCATCCAGGTGCGTGTTCATTGCGAGGACTGTATTTCCGGTTTCTTGATGAGTAAAGACGCCGATGGTGACAATGCGGGTGGAGGCCGCATCCCAACTTTTTGATGGCTTGTTGGGAGTCTCGGAGAGCCAAACTGTCTCCCGCGACTGAAGAGTCCAGACGTATGGTTGGTAGAAGATGGGTGCGTATTCTCCGGCCTGTTGCCCATCATCCCGGCCAACTCCTATAAAGGCCCATTCCAAAGACTTTGACTTCGATTTCGAATTCAAGCCCGTAAGAATATCCACGAGTTGATTGTGAAGGACCTCCTGCAGGCAGATGAAGGTATCACTGCCGAAGCGAGTGTTGTAGTGGAGCTCGTTCAACAGCAGTTGCTCCCGCTCATTCCACGGCCGCTCACCCTTGAAAGGGGATGGGGTGGCATATCGGATGTTATGGGTTAGTATACGGAAGGGTAATTCTGGGGTTGATCTCATTTTGTTGAGTTGAAAGGCAAAGACGAGAGGGGAAGTCCGAGAGCATGGCGGATTGAGGGGAAGCTGGGGCTGGGCTTGGCTGGGCTGGAGCTGGAGCTGGAGCTGGAGCTCACGCGACCTTCCATACTCCGTACATCATTTGGCAGAGACAAGAACAATCTGCACTGCCCCAGAATGCAAGTCAAGTGCGGGCACTGCGGGGTCTTTGACGCTGATCGGGGCTAATTATGTACTACTAGTACTACGGAGTACCAAGCTGAGTGAAGTGACGCTTTGCCAGTAATGACGTCTGTCCATCAGCTCCCACGCTAACCCTACGGAGATCCTGAATTTTCAGGCCACCAAAAATGAGACAAACCCCACCAACGAGAGCGTTTTGCCCGCACAGGACTCGCTCTTGACCTTGACTTCCTTTCAAGCTCTTGTGGATTTCAGTATCTACTTGTTAACACCCCCCTTCCCATTTTAACATATTTCCTCTCGCACTTCGCGATACCCACTCACACAATGGCGGAAGAAAAAGCGCCCGAGGTCATTGGTAGGTGTTGCTAACTACTGTGGTTTCCCGCGAAAGCTCTGACGTTGTGTGGGTTGTCGTCGATGCCTCAAGCGTCAAGAGCTTTCATTGATTCACCTAGAATGCTAATTGTCTCATTTTGAACCAGACTACACTCTCAACAACCCCGACACTCTGACCAAGTACAAGACTGCTGCTCAGATTTCCCACAAGGTTCTCGAGGCCGTCGCTCGTATGTTGCGCTTCTTTTCCCTATGATGACTCTCCGAGGCTACCGGCTAACCTTGAATCTTTCTAGCTCTCTGCATTGAGGGTGAGAAGATTGTCGAGATCTGCCAGAAGGGTGACAAGCTCCTTGACGAGGAAATCGCCAAGGTCTACAAGGGCAAGAAGATCGCCAAGGGTAGGTTCCCATTTCCCCTCCCCCGCCAGCTCCGATGACCTTGAATTCTAAATATCATGGGAAAAATCGAAAAGGTATCGCTAGCCCTACCACCATCTCTCCCAGCTCATATGTGACCCCCCTACACCCCTCTGGTCTCCGATGCCGCCGAGGCCGAGACCGTCCTGAAGGCCGGCGAGATCGTCAAGATCCAGCTCGGTGCTCAGATCGATGGTTTCGGTACCATCGTCTGCGACATGGTCGTTGCTTCCAAGAAGGACGCCGCCAAGGAGCCCATCACTGGCCCCGAGGCCGACCTGGTCGTTGCCACCCACTACGCCAATGAGCTTCTGCTCCGCCTCATGGTTCCCCCGGCCTGCTTGCCCAGGGTACCGACGAGGAGAAGAAGAAGGCCGCTGCCCAGCGTGCTCCCACCCAGGCCCAGATGTCCACTCTTCTCGAGAAGGTCGCCAAGGCCTACGGCTGCAACGTCATTGAGAACACTACCTCCTGGTTGTTCGACCGCAACGAGATCGAGGGCTCCAAGAAGATCATCCTGTCCCCCGGCGACGGTGTCCGTGGTGACGGTATCCCCGAGGTCGGTGAGGTTTGGGGTGTTGAGGTTGGCCTCTCTCTGGGCAACGGTAAGGTCAAGAACCTGGACCACCGTGCTACCCTGCACCGCCGTACCACCACCACCTACGGCCTGAAGCGCCCCAGCTCCCGCCAGACCCTCTCCGAGATCGTCAAGAAGTTCGGTACCTTCCCCTTCAGCTTGCGCCAGCTCGAGGACGAGAAGTCCGCCAAGGTCGGTGTTGTTGAGTGTGTTCGCAGCGGTGTCGTCCGCCAGTACGAGCCCGCTGGCTCTGCTGACAACACCCCCGTGTCTCGCCTGCTGACCACCGTTGGTAAGAAGCCATCACATCACAATCCCACTCAATTGGAATGCTATTCGCTAATTACTTCTCTGCAGCCATCACCAAGAACGGTCTCACCAAGCTTGCCACCCCTAACGCCGTCGACCTGGAGCTGTACAAGAGCGACAAGAAGATCGAGGATGAGGAGATCCTCAAGATCCTCGAGCAGCCCTTGCCCGTTCTACCGGTAACAAGAAGAACAAGAGCAAGAAGAAGAAGACCACCGGCGGTGAAGAGTAAATGCATTGACCTGAGCGTCTCTTGTATGTCGTATGCAATATACATTGATATGATGTTGGACAACTTCGATCCCAAAACTGTCTAAAAAAAAGATATCCAATGACGAAAACTTCCACTGGGTTATACGAATTTCCCGGCAATTACAATCAAGAAAATACTATTTAGCCGAACGACTGATCATGTATGAGGTTGGCGGCGATGTCCCCTTTTCCCCTTCTAGTAGATTTCGGTATACGTCCACCGAGTTCCTAGTACGATGTAACTTTCGGTTGGAATATTTGAGGATCTGCGTGCTACGGCATTTTTGGGTCATCATGTAATTATCTGCAGGAAAAGCCTTAGAAATAAGCCTACGGAAATAAAGACGCTGCCAGTGCAGATTCTGCTTTCTTCCTATAGATTGTAGAGCCGGAGATGGTAGGCAGATTGTCTCGCCAAAAACCATGGAAGGAACATTTTCTTTCTGTCTTTCTTTCCCTGTTCACTACTGGTACGGTGACCTCGTACTAGCAATCTACGTAGTAAACTTTGGAATATCGGAGCTGAGTGACCGTTGACCATCAGCCATCAACCATGTACAGACCAACAATCATCGGTATTGGGTATTGTCTTCCAACTATTGTCTTCCCACCAGTTGAGGTTCATAAAAACCATTATACTGACATTTTCACTTTAGGTTCTTATGGTTTAACCCAATCCAAGCCGACCTCCTGTGTGATCGTGCAGCATCAAATGTTTGCTTGCATCTCGCGTGGTTGCCTGCTTCTTGCCAAATTCGACTTCTTCCCTGGCGTTGAGCTTGCGAGTTCACGCTCATCTGATAATATCCAAGACGATATCGAAACCTATCAGAGCCTGACTTTATATTCTTCACCGACTGGGAGCTTCTTCCTTCAGCTGTACCTCATTTTTGGTCGGGGTTTATTGGAGGGGAGTTTATACGGCCGCCAACTTGAATAGCTTTGAATGAGCTCCGCGGGGAGCTCCCTCGAATACAGATTTCAGAATTTCGAAAACACCAAGAAAGCAAAGGACATGAATATGGACATGGACATGGAAATGGTCAACGCTGTTACGGAGTATAGTTAGGGCATTGGGGGTCATCCAGCATTGGCACTAACCCTAGCAGGGCGGTGTTCCGCCTACCGCGATGGGCAGCTTGACTCGGTCCGCTACCCGGGCTAATAATTCCTATCTCATTGATCCCGCAATCCCTCGCAAGCTCCACAAGGGAAATCCGCGTCAGAAACGCGTCGAATCGACCTCGCCTGGCAATGCGACCGTGATCTTGTCAGCGCATAAGGTCTCTGCATGGGAAGAGCCTGTCCGTGCCCTCGCGCGCCCATCTTGGGCGAATGCCGACGACGACTTTGATCGCGCCCCGAACGAACACCTCAGAACCATGAAGCCGATCGGACAGTACCCGTCCCTGGCGGAATATAAGAGCGTCGGTCTGAGGCCTCGGTCAAAGACCTGGAAGACTGGTATAAAACGCGCGTCCAAATTATATTCACGGACCGACGACGATGAGGATCTCACGACGGATACGCCGATCACGCCCGTCGCGGAGGAGGAAGCGATCGCGGCTGAAATATTGCGCGCCGACGATGATGATGACGACGACGATGATACTATGAATGGGGTGGAAACTACGGCCAGAGTCAAGACCGCTGTGGAGGGTGTGGTCATGGAGGTGGAAGACACGGACGCCGAGGCAGAGGACATGAATGAAACCAATCTCGCGACTCCAGTGTCAGAAGCAGTCGACCCCTCGTCGGCATTTCCTTCCATTCACCAGTCGATCAATCCTTCTACTCAGCCTTCCGCTCACTCTTCTATTCATTCAACTCTCAACTCGCCTGTTGACACCCCCCTAGAGGAAATCAACTCTCCCGTCCTCACATTGACCGCTCCCACCACCCACCTCACTGTTCCTGGCTCTCAGTTCCCAACTTCACATCGCCACTTACAGCAAACGCAGTCACCTCCTGCTACCGCCGTTGCCACGATGGCCGACACTATGGTGTCCAAGGATCAGCAAGTCGTCAAACCGGACTACCTCGCCGTCCTGAATTCTCTTCCAGTTCCCAGGTCTGAGAAGTACGACGTGAACCAACTCAAGCACGTTCTGGAAGTTGCAGTCACTCGTGCTGTGAACATCAGCGAAGATGATGTTGCTTTGAGCTTAGTGCACTACTGGTCTGAAATCTCAGGCGATGACTTCAAACTGTCGCTTGTTCACAACATTGGTAACGATGAAAGAGATCACAATCTGGAACTCGCCCTTCAAACTATGCTACGTCATTCTACGGATGAAGCGAGCAAGTGGTATCAAACTTATGCCGCTGAAAATTCTCGCCTTCTGGCAGGTCCTGGTTCCCCCACCGATTCCAGTTTGTCATCTGCCAAGTCCCTTGAGCCAGAATCTACCACCTTCAGCCGAGCGGATATCTACCGCGACACAAGTGGCCCAAAGCTCGAGGAGGCATTCCTTAGTGGCAAGACAAATACTGCGCCGCTAAAGCGGGCCAAGAAGCCTTGCCGGGTGAACGAGAATTCCTTCAAGCGCAGGCGAGAGTGGGAAGCAGATTCCACTCTTGAAGATAGCCTAAGGGATAAGCGCGCCCGCCTAGCCCAAGGAGCCAAATCCGACCTGACTCTGGCCGACAGTAGCTCAGTTCGTCCCCAACGCGGACAGCCGGACGATATTCAGCACCCCTACTCCTATGGTGGTGAAGAGCAGGACGAAAACATGCTATCTACTCCAAGGGCTGCTACGACTGAAGCTGCTACGCCTGAAGCTACTACTCCTTCCGGTGTAGGCCAGCCCCGGCGGCAACGCATTGCCAAAGAGCGTTCGAAGGCGAAAGGAAAGGAAGCAGAGAAAGAAAGGGAGAAAGAGAAAGACAAAGACAAAGAGAACGAAAAGCAACTATCTCGTGGGGCCCGTTCACTATCCCTGGATACTACTGTCTCTGGTGCCGAGTCTGATGCCTCCAATTCTTGCTACTCGGACAATGAGAATTCTTGGGTTGGCGATTACAAGTGCCGACAAATGCCGAATGCCATGTATGTGCTACATTTTTCTTTCATTCGCCCGGAATGATGGGGAAAACAGAAGGAAATGAATCCACCTAGACTGAGACTGACATGAATGATATAGTAACGTGCCGGAGAACACGGATTATTGCACTATCTGCGATGATGAGGGTGATTTGCTTTGCTGCGATACCTGCGAGAATGCCTTCCATTTTGGCTGCCTGCGACCCCGGGTGGACAAGAAGAATCCGCCGAAGGGCGACTGGTTCTGCGAGACTTGCGTCGTGCGCAACAGCCTCACCACCACCATCGCCTGGGGCAAGCACAAGCGAAGGAAATCTTCCTACTCCCCGCCACAGGGCATCAAGGATTACTTCGAAGGCGTCGGCGAAGAGATCCGCGGCAACACGCACTATCCACCGGAGGAGAAACGGACGTATTCCTTCTACAAATCCGTCCCCACCATGCCGAGGCTGACTAAGCCTCCCAAGACCGACAAGGACCACAGCAACAGGACGCCTCTTTACGACGACCCCAACCTAACCAAGTTGATGGAGAACGGGCATGTCATTCTCTGTAACAAGTGTGGCCTGTCTTCCGAGGGTACGCGTCCGATTATCCGTTGTGACTACTGTGAATCCCGCTTCCACCTAGACTGCCTTGACCCGCCCATGGCCAAGCCCCCTAACCCTTACGAAGGCTGGCTTTGTCCCAACCATGTTACTTCCGATGATCTAGTGGTCAGAAAACATGTTAATGGTCAGGTGCAAGAGCGTCGTCCTCGTCGCCCAAAGAAGGCAACGACCCTCTCTCACAGGTGGGATCCCGAACAAACATGGGATGAGGATTTCACCGCGCAGGACGATGACGTCGGCTCTCGCGAGATTGTCCTCGACTTCATTTCCACTGCCAAGTTCAACAAGAAACGCGAGGATGAACAGAAACAGAAGCAACTCGAAAGCACCATGCTGGATCTGACCAGGCACTTGACGATGGAGCATTTTACCAAGAACGGAGTCTCCCTTGCTGACATCTCCAACCCAAACCCCCAACTCCGGGCTGGTATCAAGAGTCTCCTTCATAACTATGACTCTGGAAGATATAACCTTGCCACCTACGATGCCGCGTCTTCTCTGCTCGGCCTTTCTAATGGCGAGCCAGTTACGATAGATGATGAGCCCGTCACTGCCAGCATATCGGCTGAAAAGATTGCCGTTGCCCCTGTCCCCTCCCAACAGGATGAACCGGTCGACTTGGAAACACCCCAGAAAGCCACTTCCCCCAAGCCCGATGAAAAAGACACTCCAGCTCCAGTTCCATCGCCTGCGCCTGCGCCAGGAACTGCTTCCCGCCCGCTGGCACGGTCTGCCCCGGCTTCTCGTCGGCAATCTCGGTCTCGTCGCATCACCAACTCCCCCAGGGTCTCTACTCGGGCAACACGGAAATCTGCCGGTCCCAATCCCGACCTGGGTGCAATCACCGAGACACCTTCCAGGAGACTCGGAAAAAGAAGCGATCATATGCTGAATCCGAGCCTTCTCTCAGCGCAGACGAGCCGGCTCTCAAGCGCCAGCACGCTGATTCCGATTAAACCTCCTTGCATAAAAATGGTGGCTTTTTCGCACCTTAACCATGCTATGCTATGAAAAACAAATCTGCGGTGGCGGGATGTGCAAATTCTGCCCTCACCCGCACACACATCCCACATTCGACACATCATCTCATCCTTTTTTCTTCTTCTTCTTCTTCTTCTTCTCTCTCTTCCTTTTCTGTTTCTAGGGCGAACATCATTGCCTATTCGACAAAATCCCCATCCCTCTATTTTCCATTCAGCACACACATTCGGAACTGGCGCATTTTTCAAAGAATATATTTGCACGTGGCTACGGATAAGGGCGTTTCTGTGAGAGCATTTGTTGAGGTTCCGTTCATTGCCGCGCTTGGCCGGTGATAGGTTTTGCATTTAGTATCTCTTACCATTTTGCTTTCCTCCTTTCTCCTGTTTCTCTCCGGGTTGTTGGTATGAACCGTTTCCATTCATCATTTCGGACATTGGCTTGTTTGCATTTAGTCTGTTTTCTTCTTTTTGTGTTTCTTTCTTTCCAACGTTTCGGGTTGGGAAAATGACGAGCATGGATATGGCGCATTGTTCGATGAATCCACATGTATTATTAGCATGGGCCCGGGGGAATCAATAATTGACTTTCAACCATTTATTCGCGAAACTACTGGTACTACTAGTTTTTTAAGTTCTTTTCGTCCAAGTTTCCAACTTCTCGGTGGTAATTTACAGCGCTCCATGACCGTAATCGAATCTGTGTTTCTGCCAGGGCAGGTGTTCAGATCACTATTCCCTATACAAATTTGGACCTGGCTATCTACACTACTGATATAGGTACTGGATGGTAATTGAAACAGAGGTCCCACTTGTAAATTCGTTACTCTACATAAATGATCCGAAACACAGCATACATAACGAAGCGCCTTGAACATCATGAAGCTAAATAAAAGACACGCAAGAACATAATCACCCACTTCTGGGCATGAAGATGGATGTGCAAGGCAACTTGGTCGGGACTAAAAACTATCCGACGAACCGAAAGTTGGACAGAGCCCACAAAAAAAAGGTAGGCGGGGTTATCCACGCTGTCCCCAATATCTAAAGGAACTTCTTGGGCATGTTCGCGCGACGACGCTTATACACGACGTAGGAAATAGCGAGAACAACCTGGAAGGCGATGACCATGAAGATGAAGAAGCCCATACGGGGAGTGGACGCGGTGATGGCTATTGCGAGATGTCAGTAAAATATTTCGGTCAATTCGCACGGGTCGTATCAACATACCGCTCAGCAGGCTTCCCTGCAGAGTCTCGCTGAGGCTGAGATGAGAGGTTCGGAGAGTGTCATGAAGTTGGTTAAAGCTACCGCTGTAGTCCTTGCCTTCAAGATCACGCTGGATGGTCTGAAGAAGCTGCTCGATACGCTGAAGTCGGGAGTCCAGGGCTGCGACTTGATCCTTAGAGGCAAGCTTTTGCAAAAGTTCCGCTTGCCGGGCCTCGTTCTTGGACGCTTGGCTTTTCATATCTTGGAGGATGTTGGTGGTCGCTTTGTTGGTAAGCTGGAGACGACCGCCGAGGTCGACGAATTGGGCGGCAATTCCGTGATCCAGGACAGTGTTTCCAGTAGATGGGTCGGGAACTGTGTTTTGCTGCTGTTCCTGGTTCCTGGCGGCTTGTTGTTGGGGAGTGCCCACCTTGGGGGGGATAACCTGGCCCTGACCGGCGGCAGACTCCAGAACAAACTTGAAGACCTCGAAGGAATCGGGGTTCTCGGGTGTGGCAGCTGTGATACCGAAGGTGTTTCCAGAGGGGAGAGCAACCTATTGTATTTGAGCATGGGGCGACTTCATTCGTCAATGTTAGAAACTTACCTTGTCTGTGGCGAAGCAGACCTTGTCGTCCACGGTAACCTCAAAAGTCGAGGTTGTGTGCTTCAATTTCACGACTGATGGGCGACCGAGGTTTCGGTAGGCGTAGTCGCAGTGTCCGAAGGCGAGGCTGTCGACACTTCGGTGGCTCTTGTAGTCTGTCGTTCCATCGTTCAAGAATCCGCGAATACTTCCACCCTAGAGATTATTTAGCCCAGTGCCTGTTTCAAAGCTAGCTTATCAAGCTTACCCTGCCGCCATGGGTATCAATGACCAGTGCAAAACCATCAAATTGCCCCACAGTATAGATACTCGAGGTGCCAACTCGGGTTTGTCCGTCCTTTGCGTACCACAGTTGGAGGTTGCCTCCTGACCGTTCCTGGCCACTGCCGCGGAATTGGAACTCGGCGCTCCATTCCGATTGTGTAATACTATTTTGCTTGTTCAGATTATGCCCATCAATGAGAGCCGGGGTATTTCAACGTACGGTTTCTGTGCCCAGGCCGATCCGCGGACGTTTCCAGGGTAGGGAGGAGTCAGGATGAGTTTGTTAGACAGCTATTTTCAATTAGCACGGGGTTATGACAGTTGCACAAATGATTCACTCACAATCTGAGGATCACTGCCCTCTCCACCAATGTTCCATCCTGGGATAGAGTCTCGCGTGGGCGAGATCCTAGCAATGAAGGTTAGCGGTTGACTGATCCAATGATGCAATGGGACGGATTGCGCACGTCTTGTCATATCCAAAGCTAGCACTTTGGATGACCTGGGCCGTAGCACCAGCAGCAAATAGAGCAAAAGAAGCGAATGTCTTCATTATGGCGGGGCGATCAAAGCGCGGGAATAGTAGCGAAAAGACAAGTCCAAAGAAAGCTCTGTCAGAGCAATATAAACAGACTTATAGGCTTTCGAAATATCCAATCCAATTCCAATTATCTTTCCGAGTCCCTCTTCGAGCGAGTCGAGTCGCAATCGCAGGGTTTCCGGGGAAGTTCACAAAGGCTCGAGACGACGCGAGTGGTGATCCACCCAACCACGATAGCAATCACGCAGAGCCGAGCTTCTTTAGCGATGGCAGCGGCCGAAGGGGAGATGTCGATGAAGTGATGAAGCTGGACACTGTTGAGAATGGTGTGTCGCACGCCGACGTCCGAGAAGTCCATGCGGAGGGATTAGCTAGTGTTGATACCTGGCCTTCTCTCCTGATTTGTTCTCCGCATGGGTCCACCTCCGGAAGAACTGCAGGGTGTTTGCATAGGGTGGATGCAAACACAAGAGTCACGTGTGGGTTCCAAAATGCTTTGCCGGGTGATGGTCGGCACGTGACCTATAACCAATTAGAAGCGATGCAAATTGAATTAGCCCGATAGTCACGTGTCTGGGGCATGATTCCGACCGGCATCGCGAACGCTCGGGAAGTGCCAGGCTACCCGAGGTTTCTCTTCTTCCCCAGCGAGAAGCAACCTTGAACCTCCATCACACACCATGTTCTCTCAAAAGGTTGCCCAGCAGTCGCTGCGACGCCGTATGTCATGTCTCCTCTTTTTCACTCGCTTCTAAAGACCAATCGCGCTAACAATGCCCCCCCTCGATTCACAGTCGCCGTCCAGCAGCCGCTTTCCATGCAGTGGTCGATGATGCGCGCCTCCCCGGCCGCCATGGCCCTCGGAAAGACTGTCCAATCGAGGTCAGTCACTTCCCGCGACAGATCACTCTGTTGAACATCCCAATATTCTCTCCTGGAATTGTCACTCCCCGCAGTCGACAGCCGACGTCATCCGCAATCAGCCATAAAAACTAACATTGCCTCTAGACCCGTCACCACCTCCCCTAACAACGAGGACCCGACCTCTCTTCTCGCCAAGCAACGTCTTAACCGCCCTGTCTCCCCCCATCTGGCCATCTACAAGCCCCAGATCGGCTGGATCGGCTCCTCCCTGCACCGTATCACCGGCGTCGCCATGTCCGGTCCGCTCTACCTGTGGGCCACCGCATACCTGTTCTCGCCCACCCTCGGCTGGCACCTGGAGTCTGCCTCCATGGTCGCTGCCATGGGTGCTCTCCCTGTTGCCGCCAAGGTTGCCATCAAGGCTACTCTGGCCCTGCCTTTCACCTACCACTGCATGAACGGTCTCCGCCATCTGACCTGGGATCTGGGCCGTGGTCTCACCAACAACGCCATCATCAAGTCCGGCTGGACTGTTGTCGGTCTGAGCGTCTCAACTGCTCTCGCCCTTGCCTTTATCTGATTTCCACATACCTCCCGAGTTTCCTTGTGTTATTAAATGGATTGAATATTTTTTTTCTTTCCCTCTTTTTTTTTGGTCAAGCAAATTATACGAACGTCAAAGTCCGGTTGCGCTGCGCTAACTCAAAAGGCGTAGATTTTCTTTCTATGTATTTTTTATGATCTGATTTGGGGCAAACATGTTTGATAAGTGGGTTGACTTACTTTGACCTTTGGGTTATCACTACGTTGAAGGGGGGGAATCCATTACATCGACATTCCAAGTTCCTTACAGACCAACTGCCTTCCATAAATATTTCATTTATCTTTGTTATGAACCTATCGTATTTATTGGTATTCCTCCATAGACCAGATGCTTCGGTCTCCCTGACCTGGGTATCCCATTGAAACTTGTAAATCAAAAGAAGTAGAACCATCCATCTCATTTTACCCAGCCTCGTATGCCAATTGGCTCCTAGTCACGCTGCATCTCTCGATAATTCCTCCAAGCCTCGAAAGAAGTGACATCGTTCATAGATAAAGGTCATGTCGGTTGTCACTCGTGATAGAATATAGTACTGCTGACAGTGGGTTCAAGTTGGATCATTATGGTCTAGTTATATATTCGTCAGCTGGCCTCGTCTCACCGCAGATCACCGTTGAAGGGTGACATACCTATAATCTGCTTTCCTCAACGCCGTATAAAACAAATTCCCGATAATGTCCATTTAGGCGGGACTGGGAGGTGGGTTGGGAGGGAACGGACGTGGTGAAGGTGGATCCTGAACCGAGTGGTTGGTTGTGGGCAATCCTTCCGTCATGATATAGGCGTTTTGGGCATAAGATGAAGAGATGAGGAGAGTAGGAGGCATATTTGTATGTTATAGAGACTCGAATTTCCACGCTATCTCGGGAGGAAAGATTAGAATAAGGATATTTGAAGTGCCCAAGTTCGTTGAGAGGTGAACCTGAAGTATAAAAGCGAGGAGCCCGGGAGAGACTTCAAAGCCAAAAGCCAACTTCAAGTCAGAGAAGAGGATTTAGTATGAAGAGAAAAAGAACACAAAGCAAAATATTCCGGCAGGTCGATCCCCTCCATTTAATACCCCGACGTACTTGAAAGTCGAGCAATCGAGAAACCGACCACCCATGTACGTGGTACACCGCCATCCCGTCGGCAATCCCAATCAAGAAATCAGACATGGAGAAAACCAGCCCCGGGGAAACAAAGCAAAGGCTACGCTGTTTGGACAAGAACAGCATGGAGGTAGCCATCCAGGTGCTCAGATCCCACAATGTTCTGGATCCCAGCCTGCAAGGGCCCGACGGAAAGAACTTGATGTATAAACCGTTGACGGCGCGTCGTCACACCCGCGATCTCTGACCACTTTTGTAAGAGCCTGGCCCAACCCGTTGAATACAAGCTTAAACCCTCTCGATAAAAACTCAAAGCTCCATCAGGTGTAAAGAGGGCGAACCTCTCCAGTCTTCTAGGTTCGGAGGCTACGAGCTATACGAGCAAAATAATTCTACTCATCAGATGGTGGCTGCCTTTTTGCGACGTAGATGGCTTTCCCCAGACCTAGTGGAGAGTAGAAGTTTTCTGTGGAGTAACACCAGCGGTCTGGGCTGTGAGTTTGCGGCTTCTTGCAGCGATCATCTTCGTGATGGTGGGCAAATCGTTGGGGAATTGCCTTTTCCCCCGATACGATCCCAGTGGACCGTGGCGGCTACTAACCGCTGATCAGCTTGATCGGCGGAACTGAAGGGAAAGAAATCCACCTGGGTATGCTAATGTGGCAAGTATCAGTATGCTGTATTCCGGGAGTAAAAAACAATGAATATTTATAGTTAGCATTGATTGTTAGTTGTCTAGAGTGGCATTTTGAGAGAAGCTCAAGGGAACACTGGATGCTTCTGTTGCCACTAACTCATCTACGCGGTTTCTTTTACAATGGAATTATAACTGATGCAGGGGAGCTGTTTCGTCCGGCTGTTAGCTGTCAGTCCTGGGGCATATCTCGAGCTTTCCCGTGTTTCCAAGCACCGAAACATCCATATAGAATTCCGGAATCGCAAACACAGCCGGAGATCAGCACACGTGGATCACCTTGCACTTCCCGTTGTGCCACAATGCAAGTCTCCCGCCTTCCCCTTCCTTAAATGATGCTTCTAGATGGAGCTTTCCCCCTGAGGGGAAGGTGGTGGTTGCCAGGTGTAGCCTCGCACGGCAGGCCGTTTTTGGAGCCGGTCCAACGGCGGGAAACAAGGGCCTTGGAACCAACCACCGTCCCCTCGACCAGCTTCTAGCTGTCAATATCCGCTGGCGACATCAAGCAGTCGTAAAATCGGACGTGCATTCGCGGGAGCAAATCTTGTTCAACCTTCCAGCTCGGCCGAAGGCCCGGGGGACTTCTCCTCTGCAGATAATCCCTGTAAGTACCGGGTGCTGTCCCGTAGAAGTCCACCGAATATTCTCCCTAGACTTACACCCCCCAGTCATCTAGAATTTTCCTCTTTTTGGATCTTGTGTCATTTTTCGGCGGCGGCTGGATACCTGGGTGCTGGGTCGTTGGGCCGCGCTTAAGGCCCGGGTACGCCACCTGCTTGGAGTATTGCTTGTGTATCCAGTCATAGAGCTACAACAGGTTACCTAGCAGCCCTCCCTGGGCCATTGACATGAGAAGTAGGAGTGTACAGAGCTGCTGGCTAGAACCGGTCAATGCTCAGGTAACAATGATATCCAGAGAAGGATGTTGCCGGACACATGACCCCTCGGAGCTGTTGGTAGTAGGCCACATGCCCCGTGCTTGTGAAGGGGGGGCATTGGACCATAAATTTCGCCCTGGCGCACGCGCACAGCGTCGGATCCAAGAGTGGTGCCATACCTCCGAGAAAATCACACAAGACCACCGCAGCAGCACGCCTGTAAAGAAGACATTGCGGGTGCAACGCCGTACTCAGTTGCTCAGAGCCCGGGCCCAGCCCTCCAAGCAGCGGTATGGATCAAGTCGAATCGATGAAGTAGAAACCATCCACTTGACCGCTACAGCTGCTTGCAAACTGCATCGGATGATGTGAGTCATTATACTGGCTCGATGATACATGAATCGAGGCATGGAGGAGCCGGATGTAGAGTATACAATCCCGCAGCCAATAGTGACTTCCGGGGATGCGAATCCTGGTAGGCTGTCAGTACCCAACAGCTGCATGAGTTGGCTATTTCGGCTCGGTGTGATCAAGCAGATTGAGAAGTGGTATGGCAGATGGCAGCGGTGTGAAGGAGCCCCATATATATGCACTACCAGCCGGAGTCTGTGTGGCAAACAGAGCAATCAAAATGTATAGGGACTTTTGCATGGGATAGAAGCAATTGCTCCTAGGGACTGGCAGGTAATCCGATGTGTAAACAATGGGAATGGGGGTGGCGGCAGTATCCACACCGCCGAAAACTTTCCAACCGCATCGAAGGCGGCCATCCACACTCTCGCCGTCAAGCAGATCACCAAACAAACCTGCCACGCCATGGCTTCGAATCTGTCCATTCGAGCGGTCAGGACCGCCAGCGCTGCGCGGTCTGTATCCCGCCCCCTCGCAACCCTCATCCCCCGCCGCAACTATGCCACCAACCCGGAGGTTCCAACTGCCGAGTCAAAGGAGCCCCGATGGTCGTACACTCCGCCGCGCACCAAGGCGCCTTTCAGTCTTCACAACCACTCGAAGTCGATCAAGTTCCATGTGAACTCCGACCCGGCTCTCCTGGATGCGTTCTATGCCCGCATGTTGGGACAGAATGGCGACAAAGTTCTCTCCGATGAGGTGAAGTGGTTGGCCGTCACACACAAGAGTTTCGATCAAGGACGTCGGGGATTCAACGACCGATTGGCTTTCCTAGGTACGTAATGGGCTCAATCGCAGATCAATGGCATGGCTTGCGATCTCTAGCTTACACGGATGCGTAGGAAAACAAGTGGTGCAAGTTCAGGCATCTCTCGCCCTGGTCCAGAGCCCCGTCGCGACAGCCACCTCATCTGACTCGCATGGTCGTGAGCCCTTCTCCCACCAGGCTCTAGAAGGGCTAAAGAATCTCTCCTCCCGCACTAAGAACGCCCTGACCGACCGGACGAAGCTGGCCGAGCTGGCAAGAAGTTATGGGACCGAGAAGATTATCCGCTGGAACCCCCGGATGGTATGATAATTCCCCCGAACACCTCCGACTCAATTCTACACCTGCTGGAACTTGAACTAACCACCCTCCCCTACAGCCCGAGAACCTGATTGAGTCTGGGATCGAATTGGTCCTGGCACAGACCCTGTACTCGATTATTGGCGCCATTGCGCTGGAGAAGGGAGGTCACATTGCGAACAAGGTGGCTCAAGAGCGGATACTCGAGCCTCTGGGGTTCAAGACAGTCTCGTCATAAAGAGGGAGACTGATCAGCTGGAAAAGCCCTTCTGCAGCATTTCCATGGCGTTCTTGATTTGATTTTGGGGCTCTTTTATCCGCCGGGCAAGGGTCCTCGGGAAGGGCACCATCACAATTACTACACTTGTACATGTACTATTAGAAAGAGAGGATGTATTATTGATTTCTCACTGGTGATTTTATATTTAAGCCAAATACCAAATGCAAATTCAGATTTAAATTTCAAATTCAATAATAATAATAATAATAATGATATTCATATTCATATTCAACTCAACAACTTCAATTTTATGGAAAGGAATGTATGGCTCCTCTGACACCGCCCGCGCAACAGTAAAAAATGCGCGGCCAGCTCTTATGGATCCTATCGAATAAACGATGCTAGTCTCCGCTACCTCGGTATCGCAAGTCAAGTAACTGAATAACTGACGGCCAGACTAGCAGAATGCTAGAGGCCGCAGAATACTGACTTGTACTGTCTAAAAAAGGGCGTTGAAGAAGAAAGAAAAAGAAGAAGAATCTGCGGCGAAAAAAATTGGCCTTTGTAGCAGACACACTAACCCGATTGGGAGTTTTATGGTGGATGATAGGGACCAAGGAGTGTCGAAATCAGTATTTGGGCCAGATGCTCCACTGCGGGCGACGCATGTTTTCTCCTACTCCCAGCCGTACTCCGTACCTCAACCCTCCAGACCTCCTCCCCATTTATTGCCTCGACATGCTGATATAGGGTGTCGGTATCTCATTCATTTCTCCCCAATCTAGCGCTGTTACCCCCCTTTTCACTGCTCCGCATTCACCGTTCACCCTCACCTCCAATCCCACCGTCCGCGCATATTTGACACCTTTCACGGACACACCTTCACAGACACGTCATGGCGTCGGCTCTCTTCTTCCTTGACCTGAAGGGCAAGGTACGTTGCTCTACCGGATACCGGGAAATGACCATGATCACCTATTTTGATCTTGGGATCAATCCCGGCTGATGTGGGCTGCATGGCTAACCCACTGGATAGACCCTTTTGGCCCGCAATTACCGCGGTGACATTCCCATGTCTGCCGTCGAGAAATTCCCTCAACTCCTTAGCGACGCCGAAGAAGAAAGTTCCGCAGTACCTCCCTGCTTCTCACATGAAGGAATTAACGTGCGTTCCCCTAAATCCTCACCCCTCGCCCCTCCACACTCCGCACAACCCCTTCCCGCACACGACACTTCTCCGACCTCCTTTTCTCCATAGTGCGCGCGCAAGACCCCACTAACGTATCTGCCATTCGTTCTTCAGTATCTATACATCCGCCATAGCAACCTTTACATCCTCGCTCTAACAAAGAGAAACACAAATGCCACCGAGATCCTCCTGTTCCTCCACAAGCTTGTGGAGGTGTTCACCGAATATTTCAAGGTACTGGAGGAGGAGAGTATCCGCGACAATTTTGTTGTCATCTACGAATTGCTGGACGAAATGATGGATTTCGGATACCCCCAGACCACAGAGAGCAAGATCTTACAAGAGTAAGTCGGGATCCATCCACTCACTCCATGACTTTTGATACAGGATCGCAGTGCTGACCGTTCCGCTCTCCAGATACATTACCCAAGAATCACACAAACTCGAGGTGCAAGCGCGGCCACCCATTGCCGTCACCAATGCCGTCTCTTGGCGAAGCGAAGGAATTCGTTATCGCAAGAACGAGGTCTTCCTGGATGTGGTCGAGTCTCTCAACCTGCTGGTGTCGGCGAACGGAAATGTTTTGCGGTCTGAGATTCTAGGCGCGGTTAAGATGAAGTGTTATCTAAGTGGTATGCCCGAGCTGCGATTGGGACTGAACGACAAAGCGATGTTCGAGACGACAGGTCGTGCGACACGCGGCAAGGCCGTCGAGATGGAGGATGTCAAATTCCACCAGTGCGTGCGACTGTCACGATTCGAGAATGATCGGACGATCAGCTTCATTCCGCCAGACGGTGAATTCGAGCTTATGAGCTACCGATTGAACACGCAAGTAAAGCCGCTGATCTGGGTCGAATGCTTGGTGGAATCGCACTCCGGGTCACGAATTGAGTATATGCTCAAGGTGGGTTTCTCTCCCTGATCAGTGCCAAATCTCAGCCATGCTAATCTGTTTTCGCGGGACAGGCCAAAGCACAGTTCAAACGCCGCAGCACTGCCAACAACGTCGAGATCCTTGTTCCCGTACCTGAAGACGCAGATTCTCCCAGGTTCCGCACCAACATCGGTACTGTGCACTATGCCCCCGAAAAGTCAGCGATCATCTGGAAGATCAAGCAATTTGGCGGTGGTAAGGAGTTCCTCATGAGGGCGGAGCTGGGTCTTCCGTCCGTGAAGGGCGACGATGAACATGGTGGTGGTATGACCGGTGGATTTGGAGGTAGCATGGGTGGAGCTGGTGCAGGCAAATCGAAGCGACCCATCAACGTCAAGTTCGAAATTCCCTACTTCACCACCAGTGGTATTCAAGTGCGGTACCTGAAGATCACTGAACCCAAGGTATGTTACTTCTCGCCATATTTACTACTTGTCAGCCATATACTCACTAGTGAACTAGCTGCAATACCCCTCCCTTCCCTGGGTTCGCTATATCACACAGTCCGGCGACATCGCAGTCCGAATGCCAGACGTGCAATAAGGAGTCCTCGATATACCTGAGTGATTTGTACAGCCCTTCTTCCTTCGACATTTTCCCTGCCCCCCTTCCCTTTTCCCCCCAAACATTATGTGCTCCCTTTTGTGGACGGCCGGTCCGATAGATAATACAATTCTGATGTGCTTGTCCGTCCTGTTCACTTTTGTATCTGCTACTTGAATTGGATGTGACTTAAAATAGATGATGTGGTTTGTTTTACATTCAAGTTGACGAATTGTCTGCACTATAGGGTGGATAAATAGGGTTATACAATAGGATTATCATAATTATCTCACTTTCTTCCAATTGCAATGGCACTAGTCGCCAAGATAACCCCAAGATTCTTTCCTGTATTCCATCCCCTCCGCCAGCCTCCACTGGTTTGGGAAATGAGACAATATTTTGTTTCTACTCAACCAGGGACGTCCAAGTGCAGTAATTGGCAGTATCGAGGGTTTCCATGTGTATGAGAAGTAATGGAAACCCTGTTATAGCGCACTGCTACGCCTTGTGTAGGAGGAAGCCCAATGGAAGCAAACGCAAGATCGAAACCTGATTGACTATCTCAAGCCGGCCTTGGGGCAGGTGGTAGTTACAATTTATGACCCTCGCTTTACCGCCGAGCCATACATGAACGTCGTTACGTCGCAAACTTCTCTTCTTGGTGATAAAGCCCGAGACGATCTATTAATAACTAAATTTGATTTGTTCATATCAAAACTCGAACTGTTGGTTTATCATTGAACTTCCGAAGACCGAGAACAGTTCACAGAAGCTTCAGGGCTGGGCATGTGCCTCGCTCCTAGTCATCATTAGGACTGACTCCGCACATCCTTTGCCCAATAAATTCACTCCTGGCCTTCCACTACTTTGAGCTTTGGTATCACTTTATGATGGTCAGTAGGTAATGCAGACAACCTTCCCTCGGCTAATTCTGGAAATACGATTAGGTAGGTGATACGTTGCACAAGAACGATACTGCGTAAGGTTCTCCCTTTATCATTTGGGAGGAGAAGGCTTGGGGGTCCGGGTTTGATTTTATTCTATTGGATCATAGAGACCGACCTGCAAGGTCTAGAGGAAATATTGAATAGGGGCCGTCCTGAGCAAGGAATCTACATCTAATTCTATTATTTCAAAGGTAGACATACGATCTACAGTGTTCATTATTGTGCCATCAGCAAGTATTTGGACCTGAGCCACAAAGCAAAAAGTTACTGTTATCTTAAAATGCACAGAAAACCACCGGAATACTGTCACAGAAGTAAACATCAAGGTAATGCAGCATTGCGAGCCAGGCAGACATCCAACTCATTTTACTTCAGAGATCCCTCATGTTCCTGAATAGGGTATTTTGAGCCCGTCTCGTTCAACCGAAAGAGTCTATAGAATTTCTCCTCCCGGTCTCCATCCCACATTTCTCCTAGTTATCTTCGCCCTTTCATAGTAGCCGAGTCTACACTGCTTCCACGCAAGCACCGGAAAGACACAGGGACTGCATGCAATGATCCGCTCCCACCGGAACAAAAGAAGCACGGACGCATAAGAACCTTGGGAATGAACACAGGTATAAATAAACTCGGACTGTTCGCGGCGACAAATGAGATGCGCAAGATGTGATTGGGTGAAGTCCGTTCGTTCCCTCTTCCTGAAGTCTATCACAGCAGAAACCCCTCCACACATCCGGATCCCTGCATGTTGCTCTATTGACTCGGATCTGCCCGGAGAGATCCTGCGTCTCTGTAACTCAGATGACTTTCTGACGGACTATATGGAGCCGACTTTCTAATTTGTTACGTCCATGATAATCACTTTGCTAAACTATCCTACTGCCATTATTCGCATAAAATTGCGTTTCAACTTTATACTTACATCGACAGTTGCGTATATCTTGACTTGATTGTTGGAAACTGCTCGTCTGCCTGATACAAGAAAGCTTTCTAGAGCAAATAGAAGATCCTCTGTGCTGAGTCTAGAATGGATCTGACAGGATTCCACCTGTCAAGGCTTTGGGTTATTTTATACCCCCTATTATGGCTAGTATCCCGTGCCTCGGCGAAAGCAGCTTTTGCCCATTTCATGGTAATATTGCTCTTTTCTTCAATCCACTATACAAAAAAACAAATCCAGCTGACAGATACATGCATCCAAAAGACAGCAAATACAGGGCTCTATGAACTATCTGACTGGAAACACGAGATATCTCTCGCCCAAGATGCTCACATCGATGCATTTGCGCTCAACATGGCCTACGGCGTCGAGTCCAACGAAAGATCCGTAGCGAATGCATTCGAAGCAGCAGAAAGTCTAGACTTCCACCTCATCTTCTCATTCGATTACGCCGGCAATGGA